GCATAATTCATTGGAGATTATTTGCATTCAAGTGGCTCTTTGGATTATCTTTAGGTTTACATGGACTGTGGTTTTGTCAGTGTTGTACCTGGCACTATTCGTTGTTTCTGTGGAACTGCGTCTTGTGGTTTTTTAAAGAGAAAGAATGTGCTTTTTTTAAAACCATCTGCTTATAGTAGGATTGTCTTTTTACGAGGTGTGCGTGGAAGGAAGGAAAGTGTCTCTATTCCGTTTTCTATGAAAATTTCTGAGGACGCAGTAAAACTTATTGTTGTGACGGGAAACAATATCGTACGTGTGTCTTCGAGTATTTACTTTTTTGAAAGAACACTTCGTCTTTTTTAAGGAGCTCACGGAAGCTTTGCATAAGTATGTCGAAGAAAAGGTTGGCAAAGCTATTTTAAAGTACATTCATTTCGTCGTCAAAGTAGAAGTTCATCTGTCCGTTGCTCACAATCCCTCTATCAAGTTGCGTCACACTTCGGAAGTAACTGTGTTTGCAAGGAAGCATGTTCTTCGGGCTTCGGAGACTGCGGAAACGATGTATGCAGCAATAGATCTAGTTTCGGACATAACTGAAAGAAAACTTCAACGCTATAAAGAGCGATTGCATGAACCTATACATGGTCCGAAAACCAGCGATATTGCTGTCAATCCTATTCCAGAAACGGATCTGGTTTCGAGAAGGCCTTCTCGTGGAGATGAAGAGGAGTGGAAAGAATTGGTTGACAAATATTCTAGTGATAATTTGCTAGACACGCTCAGTCCTGAAGATAAAGTGGTGAAGAGAAAGTCGTTTCCAGTTCCTCGTCAAACTGTTGCCGAAGCTGTGTTATGCTTGGAATACATTGATCATGATTTTTATGTGTTTAGAAATAGTGAAACTGGGGAGGTTAATATTGTTTACAGACGTAACCATGGAGGTGTAGGTTTGATTGTCCCTGAAAGAGAAAGTTGATGATGATTGATCGTTTTCTATGGAATAAATGGGTTAAAACTTGCCAAAAAAATAATATATTTGAGATTTGTACTGGCTTATTTATAGTTGTTCCTTTTATTTTTCTTTTTGCCAAAAGGCGTTTGAATGAGACATTGTCACGGTCACTCATTGATACAGTAGTGAAATTGCGCAATGCCATTATTCTTAAGAAATATACCTCATTCGCATCATTGAAAAGAGATGGATTCAACAATAACATCGAATTGCTGAGATACAAAAATTCAAATAGTGACAGTTGAGTTTCTCTTTGAAACAAAACTACCTTACACTATAAAGTTATAAGAATGAAGACGCTTTCTGAATCTTCCAACGTTTCAATTATTCGTGCAGAAAGTGTCATCAGGATGTAATGAGCTTTCATGATCAAATTGACGTAGAAGTGACAAGTCAAGGGAGACGTAATACGTATTATCCAATCAGCTCCATTATGTAAAGATGATGTTGGAAGTAGGTCTATAAAACTCTCCTCTTCGATGGAAAATCAATACCCATTTTGGAATTTGCCTATGAAGAGGGAACGACATGAAGCTGCATGATGCACACTTGAAGGTGTGTGTTTTGTCAAAGTAGCTTATGTTAGATCTTCAGAAACCACATTTACCAATAGGTATTCTTACCGTTCTCCTTCCTTCAGTGATTTTCTCGGATAGCATAATTCTCGTGGTTTATACAAGTAGCTTTCTTACTGCTCTACCTCTATTTTTTCTTTTCCTTGTATCGGGCATATTGAGTTTATCATGCTTGAGTTGTTTTCTGTCTCGCAAATGGTTTCTAGGTATTTGTAGCATCATTGTTCTTTTTGTTTTATGCTCGACAATCCATCTGGTGACGGGAAGGTTTGCCTGTTTGTTAGTAAACTGGATAGGAAGAGAATGGACCGGAAGCTTAAACAGATTCTTTTTGTGGAAGTACAAATTTTTTTGTTGGTTTTACTATCCCTTCAAACTATTGTTATCCTTTATTGGTCTGATTTCCTTGTGCTTGATTCTAGTCTCCTGGTTTCGCAGGTGGAAGCATCAGAGATATATATCGAATGAAAATGTTGAAACTGACATGGAAGTGTTGACAACGGTGAATGAACAAAGGTTGGTGGAAGAAAATGCGACTCTCTCGAATCATTCGGAGATTTGGCTATTGGAAATGGCGAGTTATTTCATACTGTTTCGACGATTAGTCTTGCTTTTTGTGATGTTCAATGTGATGTGTATTCTCTCCATAGTTTACATTCCTCTACAAAACACTTTTCTACAGTCCCGACAAACCATTTCGGAAGATTGTCACTTTATATTGACTACAGGGAATTGTATGCTTCCATTTCCTTCTGATAATATTTTGTCAGCAAATGAATCATCTCCATTTCATGGAGGAGGGAAGGGAAACAAGAGATTACCTATTTTTCGTTTTCGCAAAGGATGGGATTTAGAATGGCTAACATTAGATGATATGGATGGTTTTAGTAGACTCTCGCCCATTGTGTTTTCATTGGAGAACTTGGACCCAAATGATTTGATTGGTTACGACCAACTTCATCTTTCCTTGGGAGATAATGCCACTACCATTTTGATAGATGCCGCAACAGGCAAAAGAGTTGCTCATTTTTATTCTTCAAGCCACTTTTTTGATGAATCCGATCCTTACGCTGCAGTAGCCATTCATGCTGCAGAACCTTTGCAAGAGGGACATCGATATATTGTAGGTGTCAGAAATATACGAAATAGAAGAAACAAGTCCAGTTTGGCTAGCAGTCCAAAGGGGTTTCAAATTATTCGGGATAATTTGACTGTTGCAAATACAACTATTGACGAAATGCTTTTTCGTCATTTTCAATATGAAGAACTACAACAAATATATCACAGAAACATCTTTCCTGTCCTGGTTCAACAAGGATTTGTTCCTTCACATCTTCAACTTGCTTGGCAGTTTACTGTGAAAAGTAAAAATGCCACCCTGCAGTCTGCAAATATTATTCGTTCAACGCTGCATGCATTATGGTCATCGGTAAATAATCAAACTGATAAACCAAAACTAGAGATTGATGAAATAAGAGAATATGATTGTAAGCCGTCACTGAAACGAAGAAGAGGATGGTTTCGAAAAATTCATGGACAAGTGTTACATGTGCCCTTGTTTCTTGAAAAGGATACTCCAGGTTCAAAGCTATCTCATCCGTTGAGGCAAACGGGCACTAGTGTTGTGCCATTTACTGTATTATTACCTTGTACACTAAGCCAAGCTGGGACTCAAGCTTCCATGTTACTGCAATATGGACATGGCTTAATGGGATCTCAAGGCGAAGCTCAAAATGGTAAGAAAATGACTCCTGCAAACAAAAGAACTCACATTTCTTTCTAGATTACTTGGAACGCACTGCGAATGATTACAACCTCGTCATATGGGCTGTTGATTGGAGGGGCATGAGTCAGTATGACATTCTTTCGGTGTTTAAGATGCTTCTTTTCGAACCCGACCACTTCGCCATATTGCCTCATAATATTCTGCAGGGATTATCGGATGCCACAGTCGTCCTCTGGACGATGTTGTCTAGTTATTTTCGAGAGTGGGAGGCTATGCAAGTGAACGGTACATCTGTCTTGCCGTCGTATCCAATGAATGGATATCATTATAATATTTCATCGATTCCTATTGGCTACTATGGAAACTCTCAAGGAGGTATTTTGGGCGCTGCATTAATTGGGTTCTCACCTCTGTATTCATCTGGTGTGCTGGGAGTTGCTGGAGCTCCTTATTCTTTGTTGTTAAGCCAGTCTATTGACGCAATTCCGTACATTCGAGCGTTGCAACTGGAATTGTCTTTGCGAGATATACCTTTATATGCTTCATTGATACAGCAGCTATGGGATATTGGTGAACCTACCGGTTGGCTCAGCACTTTGATAGATGATGGAAAATATATTTTGCTTCACGCTGCAATACAAGATAGACAAGTTCCCATAGCAGGCGCCGAAGTTTTGGGAAGGGGTTTGAAGGCCGAATTCATGGGACCTCGAGAAAGAACTGTGTTTGGTTGGTCGAACAACAGTGGGAACCTTGCTACATCGCTATATCCTCATTCACAACTTGTTGAGTGGAGTGTTACTCAAGATGCAAGGTTTCCTCCTCACGAGTGTGTGCGAAGAACGTTGAAACAAGTAGTGCAGTCCATGGAATTTTTATTTTCTCAGGGTTATGTATTCCAAGTCTGTCATCGAGAAGAGAACGATTGTGAATTGTCCAGTTGTACATATGACTAAACTATCCATCTCAACTTTGGCGCGCATTCGAAGAAAAATGCGCGATGGGATGCCCAAGGCGCCATTGCCTCCACCTATATGTTCCGATAGACCCGGTACTTGGGCTTATGATACTCTTACCAGACGAATACGAACAGAAATACTTGCGAGAGTATGGAGAGAGAACGATTTCTTTGATTCCGATACGGTGACTTCGCTTCAAGCACTGTCAGATGAGTTGATAGCGGCAAAGGAAAGTGTTTTAACTCCTATTCCGAACGATGGGGGGCCTGACTGGGAGAAGTGGAACGCAATCCTGTCCAAATATGTTGGAAAGTATACTTGGTTGACAGCTCCTTATTGTCTTGTAGAGTTTTATTTTTATCGTCGACTAATGGTGGCTGTCCATTGGTTTCGAGATTTTCGAGACCCCTTTCAGAAACAAAAAGAACTAGGCACACAAAGCAGCTTAGAGACGATGTTGAGTCTGTTGAAACGTTTGAAAGGTGTTTTTGAGGTTCAAAATGACAAAGAACGAGTAAAGTTGGAGTTTCTTTCGTATTTGTTTTTATCACTTTGGGGCAACCGACTCGATTTGAGTCTCTGGCCGACTACAGAAGATATAAAACAAGGAGGAGATACGAATGAGAAACTTTTTCAGTTTGTAGAACAGACAGTCACGGAATCAGATAAGCTTTTATCGAATGATAGTTGTAACGTTTTCCAGTATCTGTATTTGTCGTTGAGGAGGGAAACTGGAAAAAAAAGGAGACGTGTGGGTATTGTTGTGGATAATGCTGGTTTGGAGCTTTTCTGTGACTTGTGCTTGGCACATTATTTGATTCAGTCCGGACTGGCTCATGAAATACACTTCCATTTGAAAGCCCATCCTTTGTTTGTATCTGATGCCATGGAAAAGGATTTGTTATACACCATTCACTATCTTGAAGAAATGACGATGGATAAACCTGAATTGCTTTCCATTTTAAAACAATGGAGTGAATATTTGGAAACAGGGCAATGGTGTACGAAGGAAGACTACTTTTGGTGTCAGCCTTGTGCATTTTGGGAAATGCCAAACTCTATTCGACAGGATTGGAGAGACAATTGTTTGTTAGTCATCGTGAAAGGTGATGCAAACTATCGACGTCTATTAGGGGATCTCGAATGGGATATGGCCATACCGTTTGGGGATATTGTGAACTGTTTTCCAACAGCTATTTGTGCTTTGCGAACACTTAAATCGGAAATTCTTTGTGGGGTGTCGAAAGAACGCCAAGACTATGCTTTTCACGAGGATCCTAAATGGATGGTGTCAGGCGAATGGGCAGTTGTCCAGTTTTATCAAGGAGAATATAACTACACCTAAGAAACATCTTTCAATACATCGTTTAACTTGTCTAGCGCCAATAAATGTCGTTGCGAGTCGGCAACTGAATTTTCATGTTGATTGGACTTTACCATCATTTCCATCACCATAAGAAATTTCTTAATGCCAATTCCTTGGGATGTTAAAACATCAGCTGCTGACTCCAGTTCATTGGACGATACAAATAGCGATGTCGTACCACTAAATTTTTGAAGGAACAAACGCCTTCTTTGTCGATTACTTTGTCTTTGTGGTTCTGATGCATACAGCTTGGCTGGAGTGGCATCCTCAATGTGACCTTTCAACAACTGTATGATCTCCTCACGTTGCAAATAACTCGTAGATAATACAGAATGGAAAGCTGAGCGAACATCCAGCGATTCCATAATTTCTGGCATGGAACAAGTTGCCAAAATCAGTAGTCGCCTTCCTTTGGGTGGAACTTGCTTTATCAATACCAACAATGTTTGCAAAATAGTGTTGGAGAACCTCGGACCTATGGGAGCAAATTCGATCAAACGTTCTATATTGTCTATTACGATACATGACAATGGTGATTTGTGAGCATCATCAAATACTTTTGCTATAGCATTGCACTTTGAAGCTTCCGAGAATCCGACGTATTCTTCTGGACTGATCATACGAACAAAGGGGAAATCACTTTCTACAGCTACCTTGGATGCAAACGCCGTCTTTCCTGTTCCTGGTTGTCCTTGTATCAATACTGAAAACAGAGTAGTCCTTTCGGAAGTACGAACTTGTTCACAAAACAAATTTCCTGCTTTAACCAAGTGTTCCATTCTTTCACTGAAGATATAAAAACCACCAAACAAACAACGTTCAAAATGTTCCTTTGGCATGCCAAACGCGGGTTCAATCTCTAACAAAGCATTCTCAAAGTCTTCCATAGTCACGACGATATCATCCGGATTGACTTGTTTACGCAAATTATTCAAATCGATATGTCTATTAAGAGCATAAGCAGCTGCTGATTTACATAAGCCTTCAATTTCTGCACCCGAAAAATTCTTGGTTCGAGAAGCCAATTCTTCCAAAGAAACATCAGCAGCAAGTTTTCCATTCTTTCGCATTTCATTGGTGTGAATATGCAAAATCTGTAAACGACCTCTTTCATCTGGTAATGATATTTCAACATGAACCTAAAACGATGGTCAAAATCTGGTCAGAATACTTATATTTATCCTATAGTGCTTACTTCTAACCTTCCAGGTCTTAATAACGCCTCATCAATCATATCTTTTCGATTAGTCATTCCAATAACGAGTATATTGTTTAGTGCATTCACTCCATCTATTTTAGATAGCAACTGATTGACTACTGTATCATGAACTCCTGTTCCATCCCGTACATTCCCACGATGCTTACATATGGCATCTATTTCGTCAAATATAATAATATGCAGTTCTGAGTCATCCAATCTTTCACGATATTCAGCTTCAGCTTCCTTGAAAAGATTTCGAATGTTTTCTTCCGACTGTCCCACATATTTGTTCAATATTTCTGGACCATTTACTACTTTGGGTTCCTTTCCATTCAACATTTTGCCAATTTGCCGGGCAATCAAAGTCTTTCCCGTTCCAGGAGGACCATATAGCAACATTCCTTTCACATGCTGAATACCCAACTTCTTAATAACGGATGGAGGAAAGACACGAGAAGCAAATGCACGTCGGAAAATATCCGAAAACTCTTTATCCAATCCTCCTATACCCATCTTTTCGAAATTGAAATCAGGTTTGAATATATCTTTCGGTCTCTTGTCTCCGCCTATGACTCTGAGACTACTACCAGCAGCTTTGGAGAAGAACAAAGTAGTATCCGCTGTTACCAGACCAACTGAAGACTCTTCCGGTATGAGAGCGTCTTGTGAAATTTCCTTGGACACATGACGCAACTTTTGAGGTTCCAACACTTGCATATTGTTCACCTTCAACAGCAAAGAAACTCCGAAGAAATCAAGTATCACGCTTTGGCCTCTTGAAAGAATTACTCCCGTAAAGCGTTTCAACATTTGTGCGCTTAAATCTTCCGCGTTTACTTGTTCCAAATAGCTCACTTTTGTTTTGCTCACCAAGTCCACCTCGATGGAGGCAGACACAATGTGTGCAAACTCAAGAGTCTTTCTTGGATTGACTTTTACGCTATCTCCCAGAGCAAGTTGGTTTTCTCTTCGCTGGATAGAGTTGAGGCCAATGGAACCTGTTGAAACCATGGGTTCTTCACTAGCTAAATAACAGTAGGCTCCATTCAAGTCAACTAAGCAACAACTCACTAGACTGCTTTTAACTCCATCTTCCAAAGAGTCCACTGTTTCTGGATATTGCGTTTTTTGCACTTGTACCGATTCGAAGCTTTGTGGATACTGTTTGTACAACCATTCAAAATCCTTTGGAGATAGGAACACTTTGTTTGTCTTGGCCAAGTCTTGAGAAGGACAAGAAACTACAGTCAAATTCAACCCACTTGAGAACCAGGAAGTCATAGAGTCACTGATTCTTTAGAATGTATTTCCAAGTCTAACTATGTGAAAGGGTGTCGATCAGGCTAGAAACGTTCACGAACAGGAAACAAATCATTTAATTTTACCAACCCTCGAAGAAGAATGTACGATTAAGAGCTCATATACAACAAATGGATTACAACATCCATTTCACGATCAACCCTATCAAAGCATGACATATAACTAGTATACATACTAGTTGACTGCTTTCTATTGAAGAAAAACGAAATATTCAATATTGGGGACCTTGTCCTTCGAAGAAACCGGAAAAGGGTTCTCTCATCTGCATCTGCCGCATTCTAAGAATTTGCAACTGTTGTGGAGACAATTGAGCGTAGTTGATGCCTTGTTGACCCACTTCAGTTTCATATTCACCATATCCTTCAGGTGCATATAAATGAGAATGGGAAGGTTCCAGATTTTCTGGGTTGTCTCCATATCCTCGATAAGATAGTAGTGCAGGGTTATCGGTTGAACTGGTAATCGAAAGGCCACCATGTTCCTATTATATAAAGGGTAAAATACAAAAGGAACCCTTTAACGCAAAATGATCAACCGTGTTATCCACTTACTTGAGGCATTTTGGGATCTTCTCGTGGCACAATATCAATAAGAAAGTCAAAAATATCCGTTTTTTGGATAGCTGACGCAATATCACAACGTTGGAGTGTTCTCCGCTTTGACTCTTCAGTCTGTGCCCACGCTCGGATGGTCAACTCCAAGATAAACATCTCACAAGCTTTGGAAAAGAGAGCTGGAGCCTCTGCTGATATCATTCGTACGTCTTCATCGGATTTCATTATCTTTTTTATTCTTGCCAACGGTAGCATATGGTTTTTAAAGTCGGTGATAACGCTGACCTATGTAGTAGTTTGGGTATGATGACTAGTACAAAGTAACAAAGGTACCTCTCGCATTTGTTCGTCCCAAAACTGGGCAAGTGTTGCGTTCAACGCTTGCAAACTTCTTTGTTGCTGCAGTTGTTGTTGTCGAAACTGAGCAGCTTCCTGTTGTTGCTCGGGTGTAACTTGAGAAGTTGCTCTCCAGGTGTTTTTATCGTCTTCATTTTGACCTGCGTCTAAATATTCGTTGTACATGTTGACAATCCAAGTCAATCGAGTATCCTTGTTTGCCAAGTAACTAACGAAATTCCAACGTCACCCATTTGCTCTTCTTCCCGTTGCCCAATTCCTAACAAAATCGTCAAGTTTTCTAAGAGAAATGGAATGGAATATCAACTCTACTCTTTTTACGCTTATACGTAAACAAATATTGTCATGAATAAAGGAGTCCAAAATAATAACTTTAACTATCCATGATATATTTTTTGAAAAAGTTCTTAAAACCGAAAGCAATAGGAAGAGAGGCCTTCAAAAGAAATTCAAATGAGAAAATGTCTCGAGGTGCTTTGATTGTCTTGGAAGGACTCGATAAGAGTGGTAAAACTACACAGATAAAGAGTTGTTTGGAAATATTGAGAGCAGATGGTTTCGATGTGTGCCAATTGTCTTTTCCAGATAGAACTACGAGTACTGGTCAACTTATCAGCTCCTTTCTTCGAGAACAAACTATGTTGGATGACAGAGCGGTTCACTTGCTCTTTTCTGCCAACAGGTGGGAAAAGTGGTAAGTTACTTTGGGAGACTCGTCGATTGGAAATATTATTTCTCTGTTCAATATATAGGAAAGAAATGAATGACTGGTTGAGCAACGGAACAAGTATTTTGGTGGACAGATATGCGTATTCTGGAGTTGCATATACGGCTAGCAAAGGATATGATTTGGATTGGTGTTTAGGTCCAGACAAAGGTTTTATAGCACCTGATCTTGTGGTTTATTTATCTGCTCCTTCTACTGTATTACAAGGTCGTAGTGGTTATGGAGAAGAGCGATATGAAAACAAAGCTTTTCAGAGTAGAGTTTCTGAAACTTTTGGAAAACTCAAAACTAAGAAATGGTTAACTGTTCAAAGTGATCGTCCCATAGAAGAGATTACTCACGATATTATCACTCCTATGCGAAATATCATACGGAGTTGTCAAAGTGGCTCATTGAAATTGGGAACATTGTGGAAAGATGGATAGGACATATTCTCTAAGAGGTGGAATGAAACTGGGTGCTTTTGAAAACTATAAAAAGATTGTTTATTCATGTTCCAAGTCATCTTTCATAGGATTGTATCTAAACAGTCGATCTCCAAAACGAAAAACAAGCTGGGACTGGTCATTGTTGGAATAGGATTGACTAGTAGAAGATGGCGTATCAGAGTTGCGAATGATTCTCGGTTGTTGGTTTCCAAATGAGCTTTGAAATATAGCCAATTTTGTGGGAGGAGGAATTTCGTTTGTACCTCTGTCACCAACATGGATAGGAGAAGTCAGGGATGAGACTAGTGTTGGGGAAGTAGTAGTAGTCTGAGTAGCTTGTCCATAGGTTGTTACATTGGTGTGAACAGAACTATCATTAGGCTTTTTAGATGATGATCGCATCAATATTGTAGAAGAAAGATGGTTCGAGTCTGTATAAGAAGAAGAAAGATGGGATGGATTTGTTTGAGGCTGATTGGAAATGTTTGCATCGTTTGAAACGTTGTCGTCTTCAATTTGGTTCTTTGATTGTAAATGCTTTTGAATAACATACCGCCATAAGATATATCCAATACCAATCAGTAATACACAAGCAGCAATTCCGATAACGACGATCACAACGATGGACTGTGTATTAGCACCACAGAATGAATACTCTTCATGAAAAGGTTTTAAAAAGAAACCAAGAGATGGACATGTAGCATAAGCAGAGTGATCCAAAACAGGATAAGTACCAGGAGGACTATTATAGCAAGACTTTGATTTTGTATGGTTTGTATAAGTAGCGCCAGAACAAGTTGAACAGGGAGCATATCCAGTAGGACTGTATTGACCCATGGGACATGGAATGGGCTGTGGAGAACATTTCACGCAACTGATGCCGTTGTACGAACACAAAGTTGAAGAACAAGCTGTACATTGAGTTGCTCCACTTGTGCTTGTCATATTTGCAGGGCAGAGAGAACAAGAAGTGGAGCCAGTCTTGTTACTATAGGTACCAGAAATACACTGTTCACACTGCTTAGAACCCGTTGTACTGAAGGTACCACGAGGACACGGTGTACACACAGAAGCGCCATATTTGTCAGAATAGGTTCCAGCCTCACAAGGAATACATTTGCTAGAAAGGGAAGTACTGTAAGTTGATGGAGAACACATCTTACAAGTAATAGAGCCTGACACGTCGCTATAGTTTCCTGCAGCACAAGGGAAACAAATTTTTAAACCAGTTTCATTTCCAAAAGTACCGAGAGGACAAGGTGGACAACGAGAGCTACCCAGTGAGTTGGAATAGTTTCCAACTGGACAAGGTAGACAATGAGATGAACCACTTGGACTGTAACTACCGGCAGGACAAGGTAGACAAGAACTTGTCCCCGTTGTGTTGGAGAACGTGCCTGCAGCACAGGGAGTACAGCTTGCAACACCGGCTTCACTGAAAGTGCCTTCTGGACACGGACGACAAGATGAGAATCCTGTTGAACTACTCATACCTGCAGGACAAGGATAACATTCCTTCAAACCCGTTTCGTTACCGAATGTTCCAGCAGGGCACAGTTTACAAACAGACCCTGTCTCGTTGTTAAAGGTTCCTAGTTGGCAAGCTTTACAAGCTGTAGAATTGGATTTGTTGGTATAACCTGCAGGACATAAAGTACAACTAGCAGCACCGTTGTTGCTATATTGGCCAACCGAACAGCTAAGGCATTGTGTGGCGCCAGTAATGTTGCTAAAAGTTCCAGCAGGGCACAGTTTACAAACAGACCCTTTCTCATTGTTAAAGGTTCCTAGTTGGCAAGCTTTACAAGCTGTAGAATTGGATTTGTTGGTATAACCTGCAGGACATAAAGTACAACTAGCAGCACCGTTGTTGCTATATTGGCCAACCGAACAGTTGAGGCATTGCGTGGCGCCAGTAATGTTGCTAAAAGTTCCAGCAGGGCACAGTTTACAAACAGACCCTTTCTTGTCGTTGAAGGTTCCTAGTTGGCAAGCTTTACAAGCTGTAGAATTGGAGTTGTTGGTGTAACCTGCAGGACATAAAGTACAACTGGCAGCACCGTTGTTGCTATATTGCCCAACCGAACAGTTGAGGCATTGTGTGGCGCCAGTGATATTGCTAAAAGTTCCAGCAGGACAAGCTTCACACTGCGAACTTCCGTTATTAGGTTGATATTGTCCAAGAGAGCAAAGTGTATAAATATCAGCACCAGAACTAGAGTAGGATCCAGCAGGAGCCAGTTTACACCAGGCAGTTCCGCTATTGTTGGCATATGTTCCACTTGGACAGTTACTACATGCACTGCTTTGGGACGTCGAAGTGTTTTGTCCAGGTGGACATGGTGTACAAATACCAGAACCTGCACTACTATAAGTTCCTGGATCACAAGGTAAACACTTAGAGGATCCTTTTGTTGAGTAATAACCAGATGGACATGTGTCGCAGCTCGACTGGCCACTTTTTTGTTGATATTGTCCAGCTGGGCATTGTAAACATTCATTTTCACCACTGCTGGGTTGATAACTCCCTATTGGACATGACTGACAGCTAGTTGATCCTGTATTGTTTGTAAAAGTTCCAGGTGAACAAGGAGAACAACTCGTTTGTCCTTCCTCATCATTATATTGTCCAGCTGGACATAGACTGCAAGTTGGACTATTCGGCTCTGATGTATATTCTCCTTCCCCGCATTGATTACAAATAGTTCTGTTTCCATAATATCCTGCAGGACAAATGCATGTCAAATTGGCATAAAAAGTGATATCCGATGGAATAGGGCAATGGAAGGAGTTGTTGGAAAAGTCGGCAGTTGTCAAACCTGACGGTAATGAGGTTGGAAGATAACCTGTAAAGTTGTTGAAGGAGACATTGAGTTTTTCGAGGCTGCTGGGTAAAGATGGTAATGAGCCACTGAAATTATTCTCCTGAATATACAAGGATTTTAGGTTTGAAGGTAAAGAAGGGAGAGAACCCCAAAAGTCATTCCCATAAAGACGCAAACTTGTCACACTAGATGGAATAGAAGGAAGTGGTCCATAAAAGTTGTTGTTGGAGTAGTCGATAGTTAGAATAGCAGGAGGGAAAGTTGTAACTTCACCTTCAAGTTGATTATTGGAAACATCGATGTAGGTTAGCTTGGTCAAGTTGCTCAAGTTGGGAAGTATTCCTGTGAAGGCATTGTTTTGTAGCTGCAAGTTTGTGAGTGTTGTTGCTTGACTCAGAGTCGATGGAATACTCCCATTGAGATTGTTGGAAGAAAGCTCAAGAGTTTCAAGCACCACCATTTGATTGAAGGTATTTGGCAAACTACCAGAGAGTTGATTATCAGATAGTTGGAGATTTTGAATTGTACTGGAGCTAAATAATGTTGAAGGTATGAAACCAGAGAATTGCGAGTGGCTTAGTTCGAGGGATTGCAGGCTTTGAAGATTGCCTATAGAAGTCGGTATAGATCCTCCCATGCCAGTATGTCTTAGATGCAAGGTCTCCAGTAGACTGAGAAGACTTATATTGGATGGAATACTACCAGTTAGCTTTGGATTATAACTCATTTGTAGTTCCTGCATTTGAGAAAACTGAGTCAGTACATCTGGAAAAGGGCATTGAAGATTCTGAAGGCTGAGGTCAATTTGTTCCACGTTTCCGTTAGTACATGTCACCTGCTCATGATCACAAGCCGAGTTTGATGTATTCCAACAACAATTGTCGTTTGATACACAACTACTACTGGTTGAACAGTATTTATAGACACTCATCGACCATTGTGCACCTCCACATGAGTCATAGACTTGTTTTAGGTATTCATTTTGACTAGCATGAACATGAATACGAGGAGAGCTATATACAATTATTATAATGAACATGAGAAAGGAATTGAATATACCAATACGAGTCATTGTATTTGTTCCTAAAGAATAGTTGTAGAATCCTTGGAAAAAGAATCGATGATGTAAAAGGAAGGGTCGTGTGGAAACCCTTTCAAGGGAATCATTTGAAGGGTCATATTTTGTGTTTGGGTAAGAACGACGCCCTTTTCGTCCTCAAATAAAACGTCAAGAATATGGTATAGACACTTGAGATAAGTTTGTGTGGATCCATAAACTAATATTTATCAACTCTTCATTGTATTGGTTTTTTGCAAATTTTCTTGAAAAGTAGTTCAAAGCCATTAGTATCTTGGATAAATAGTTGTTTATTTTTTGACTCTACAGAATCTTACACACAAATGTTTTTCTTTTGTACAATTTTTGTGAATATTGTTATGCAAATACACACAACTGGGAGCCCTAGTAACATTTCGCAATCATAGATATTGAATGTCGCTATTCGTAGGAAATGTTTCGTCGAGTGTTTCTAAACGGGAACTACAGGACTTGTTTGAAAAATATGGAAAGTGTCGGATAGACTTGAAAAGAGGGTTTATGTTTGTAGACTACGACGAAGAAGCTGAAGCAAAGGATGCGTTGGAGTCTTTACAAGGAAAGGTAAGGGAGTGGGTTTCCTTATTGTATACCTCTGTGTCTCTTTCTGGTAGCCTTTTCTATCGACAAAGGTTAGCGAACGAGAGCGAGAACAAAAGGTTCAACGTACGCCAATAGAGGTGGACGAGGGATGGGAAAGGAATACCTCGTTATGTGAGAGAAAGAGGAAACTTTTGATCATTTCCTATTAACCCATTTTATTTCTGTAGCAAGTAGGAGGCTTAAAAATCAATGTTGAGTGGTCGAGAAGATATAAGTATGGAGGTAGAGGAGGATTGAGAGGCAGAGGGGGATTTCGAGGAAGACCACCGAGACGTCGATATTATAGAAGCCGTAGTCGTTCGAGTTCGAGGGATAGAAGATATCGAAGAAGGTATAGTTATTCTTCTGGTTCTAGTGTCTCATCTCCTCGGAGACGACATCACCGCCGACACTCATATTCTCCTTCTTCTTCTATGTCTCGTTCGGATTCATATTATTCTGGCGATTCTAGAGACTACTCTTCGGATTCAAGATCGTAAGTATATGAAAGTGACTTTTTGGTGATTGAATTTTGTTTCAAGATATCATAGTACGAGTCGTTCGCCTGCTTCATCCCGTTCTTCTCGCAGGAGAAAGCGCAGTTATTCACCAAGTCGTTCTAGAAGTTATTCTGATGCTTCCCGCTCACCACCTCGTCATCGAAGGAGAAGAAGAAGGAGTCCGAGTTATTCCCGTTCGCGCTCGAGATCACGTTCCTATTCTCGTTCCGTTTCATATTCTCGTTCACCCTCATATTCCAGGTCACCTTCTCATTCACGTTCAAGATCTCCTTCTAGGTCAGCATCACATTCTTCGCGGAGCTATAGTCGTTCTCCTGTAGAAAGAAAGAGGGTCAAAGAGGAAAGCAATTCTCCCAGACCACAAGATGTGGAAGAAATGCGTTCGACGAAGGATATTAGTGAGCAGGAGTTGCACGAGTCGAAATCAATAGGAGAACATGAAGAATCATCTCCAACACAAGACAAGTTGGAAGAAGGTAATCATGATGCATCGATTGAAAATGAACAAGCAACAGAAACCAATGAAGAGGAATCGCCTTCTGCTCAAGACCATAACACAACATCAGCTAGCCAAAGTAACGAGGATGATTTGTATAAAATGACGGTGAAAGAGTTGAAAGCAGAGTTGAAGAAGCATGGAATAGATGACCCTAAGTTGAAGTTGAAAAAGGACTTGGTGGAACGTTTATCACAAGAGATGGAAAACAATTGAGTTGAATATTTCTTATGTCTAGTAAAAGAGAGATGACGACTAGAGTGGTGGTGGTTGGTTTGTTGTTTTTTTTGTTTTCTTTTTATATAAAGAAAAACTCGTTTCAAAGATTGGAAAGAACAATGAAGAATAATGATACGACGGTTCATCATCCATGGCAACTATGGAAACGACTACTCGTTAATAAGCATCTTTCTCAAAATAGAAAAAACTATCGAATATTATGGCAACTATTTCAGTCAACACCGGTAAGAAAAACTGATGGTTGATTATTGCATATCCAAACCACGACTAGAAACTATCTTGGTCCCGTTATTTAGAAATGGACCCCACAGCAGACAGTTTTATACAACAAGGACTCTATTCACAAGACCTTTGGTTGTGTAGTGCAAGTTTAGAATATTTGAAACTGTTGTTTGAGTATGTGGGAAAGAAGAAACAAGAAGAATCGTCGTTGTTCCGCACAGCTGTTCAAGTTGCCAAGCTTTTGGTGACCGTGCACTTGGAGAGAATGGAGTTTTTGATTATTAAAGCACGAAAATGGCGGTTTGAGCAACGTGGATTTGTCCATCAAGTAGCTTCGTTATGGAGAGCTATCTTTAGGATGGATGAGATGATTGCTTTTCGGTGGATGTCCAAGGTGAAGGAAATTGGGTTCTTTGAGAAGAGTGATATTGAATAGGTTTGTAGGTGATATCGATGCAGTCCTCTATATTGATATATATGGTGAAATCAGTTCATCATCATTATGAAGGCTTTATGCATGAATTGATATTCTTATGGAAAATTTGGAACAAGGTAGCTGGTGCCAAGGAGTTGGAATATTTGTATGGAAAAGAGTCTTTATTTGTTCGAAAAGTTTTGCAGGTAATAACAAGTATGAGTATGGATATGGTTTTTGTAGCTCAATAATATATGTTTTATGTATCCATTGATGAGATTAGCATATTGCACATTGTCAAGATGCATATTGGATATTGCAAATATTGAAAACTCTAAGATATCAACATGGACAGCGATGGAAACATGTGAGTATAGTTTGTATGTGGGTAAGTAGCCTTGATGGATATTCTAGGCCCGCGTTCGAATGATAAGAAATGGTTTGAGTCGATCATTCATTCAAACCATTGCACAATGGAGTATTGCAGATACTTGTGAGGAACAACAGCATACTTTAGCACATCCATTAGATAACCAAGAAATAAGACAACTTGCCAAGGAATGGATATATTTATTCATTGGTCGCGTTTCTTACTGGGTAAGTGAAGAGGAGTTGAGAGACAAATGAATAACAAGAGAGAGTTTAGGTTAATATAGAAGAACTGACTGAAATGGCTATTCGTTTACCTCTTCAACAATCATCTCATTTTCGACTAGTAGAACAATTATTGGAATGGAGACCTTCTTTATCTAGTCACTATTTGTTGCGTTGCCACTTTCATAAGATGGATCCAGAACCTAGTCCTGATTGGATATTTCAAGCGTTAGCTTTGATAAAGGCCCTTCATACGGATGAGAATATTCAGATTCCAACGACAATGGAAGAAGATGCAAAAACCTGTTATGAGTATTGTATGCATATATGGCCATTGGAAAGCAAAGACTCTTGTTGGGAACGAATATTATTATATACGGAGCATTTGCTGTGTCCCTGGATAGGGTTTCAAATATTGTTACATATTTTGAATAGACTGCAACGCTACATGAATGAATTGAACAAAATTGTTTCTATACATGATGAACAATGGACAAAGGATATAGAGTGGGAAGTTGTCAGTCGATTACCCGACTTTCAAGTCATATGGGCTGTCATTCGTAGAGAACTTAAACAACTCAGCGTGATTTCATCGGAAAGTATGAAATGGATGGAACATTTAAAGACTTTCCATTCCATGTTTTATTTTGTACCGTTGGAACCACAACATATGAATATGGAGTTGTTGACTCTAGGTTTACAAGTCATTGCATGCTATCGAAAGATTATTCCTTGGTTGGAGAAAGAACAACGTTGGGATATTTCTAAAATATTTTTTGCTTCTCCTATCAACCACACAAACGGCTATTTGGAATATCATTGGATCGTACCTTATTTACAACATGGCCATTTATTGCATGCTGTATTGAACCATATTCATATTTCTATCAGTCGTCATGATGGAGATAGTATTCGAGTATTGATTGCATCACAACAAGGACCCAGACATTTTTCTAGGTTAGGACAACTTTTGTATTTATATGCTTTGTATATACAACGAACCAAAGAGTCAACAGTGAATAGCCATATCATTCATCTACTGTATACTTGTATTTGTGAAATAGGGAAAGCAAGTGGTTGTTTTGATAGTTTTGAATTGCATTTTTGGTTGTATTGGTTATCGTTTGCTTGTGAAATACAAGCGGAATCCAACAACCTTGAATATGAGGAGGGCGTGTTACAAGAACTTTGTATTGCTTGGTTTGAACATTTATGGATAGAATTGTGGAGAAAACCATTTCTTATTTGGGATATGAAGAGAGATGCTCATGTCAACTATTTGATCACTTTGGCCATTTTAAGAAAGTTGGCCAATCCCAAAAGTGAACAACAAGTGAGACGTTGGTTTGTGATGGGAATTGCCTGCTTTATTCGTTTGCAATATTTTCCATATATCTCGGAAGAGGAATGGAATAAGGAAAGAATGGAATGGTGGAAAATGAGTTTGGAGCAAATGGAAAATATTCATAGGAATGAAGAGCTTTTATGGCTTAAAGGACTATTCTTGGATAAGAATATGGGAAAAGGAATGGAAGAAAGTATTGAGTTTCCATTATCATCATTGGAAGACATGTGGAATCAGTGGTCACTTGGTAAGTAGTAGTTGTATCTATTGAGAATATCAACAAGAATAATCCATCTTATTTGAAATAGGAAAGAAGCCTATTATAATTGAGAATTGGAAAGAATTAGAAGAGCCTTTGATTTCAGAAGAATGGAAACGATCATGTATAGAGCAACTTTTATGGACTCCAAGTCATCGCTTGGTCATTTTACAGACTTTGTTATATCAGTGGAATATGAAAAGGGGGAGAATGTCTCTTTCCAAGTCTCAACATTTTCATGATGATATAGTGACCAATCATGTATTGGAATGGTTATCTGAAATCATACAGAGAATATCCTTCGAGTCTTTGGAAGAATATGTGAACCTATTATGGAATCATTCTATTTGGAAGCAATGGTTAAAACATTCCTATGAATTTTTTGTATGTTTTACAAAATATTGGACAAGTGCTATGGAGAATTTGGGATATGTTAGGTAAATAACTGAAAACAACTAGGGATTCTGTGTTGTTATATATTATGAAATATCTTCTTTTTTTTATAGGAGACTGGAGTGGCATCCTTGTTTGGAGAAATGTATGCCAATTGTAATGGATTGGATTGAAAAGGAATGTAGTGATAATGATCTAGTTCAACATTGGCTTGACTTGTTATCCTACAATCAAAGGGTTCGTTTGTTGGAAAGATTATTCAGTCAATTGGTTCGAATGTGTGATTCTCAAACCATCGATGAAAGGGGAATATCCAATATTGTTGACAAATTGATAGTCGTTTTTGAAAAGTGTGATAATGAGATGTCAATGAAATATTCGTTACCAGATACTTTGAAACAATCTATAGAATGGGGTTGGAATGGCGTCATCATATCTGGACGAAAAAGTGAATTGTGTAGAAAGGAATGGGAACGGTTATGGAGTGTGATGATGACTCGTCGATGGTTATCGTTACATGTATGGTTAGGTATTGTCATGCAAAGTAAGTATGATCAATAGTATTGTCGAATATTGTTGGTTTCTCATGATGAGTTTAGCAAATCGTTCCCATTTGATGCATTTGATGTTGGAATGGCAACAATTACATAATGTTCAACATAGGCAATGGAGAGGGCAATGGATGGATTGGATGTTGAGAAGATATCCAAAGATAGTTGGAATATGGTTAAGGTGGATACATCATAAAAGAAGAAAATGGGGAAAAGTGAGTTGAATATCTATCTATTTATTGCAATTGGATATTCACAGAAATGAGTCATAGAATGAAGAAAGAAGATCGATTGCAGCTATTGTATTTCTTTTGAAGCCATCATCGCTTATGGAATGGAATAGAAAGATTGAGAGATGGATATCCACTTTGTTGCTCTTATTTTATCGTTCTTTATGGTATGAAAGAAAGCATTCGACCATATTATGGTTGGAAGAATATTCTTCCAATGAATGGATTCAAATGGCTATTCAAAATAGAGTATCTAGTAAGTAGTTGCTACTCTGATATTGGAAAATGCTCAAAGATAAAAAACTCGATAAGGAACAGTTGATCACCGTTGGAAACGAATTGCATGGCGTTGGGTAAAACATTTATTTAGGAAACATTCCTTATCTACCAAAAAAGGAAAGTTGAAGAATCATAAAAGAATGAAAGGATTCTTATTAGGATTGGATACATTGGATATTTTATTATTGGATACGGGAGTTGAACAAAGGAATTCTTTGCTGGATATGATGACTTATCTCTTAGACTGGAGTGGTCAGATACTTCATCATGGAACAATTCAACCACTGAATGATGATAATAATGATGACCTATCGATATTATTATTTACTAAATATGTAAACATTTTATGGAAAGTATTTTATGCTTGTATAGGTCAGCAAGTACCTCATTGTTCGTTGGAGAATCATCAAGTGTGCATTTCTTACCACAGCCATGATATACTTTATCATGTCAAGTTATCGAATGAAAAGTGTTTGCAATGGCTACAATCCATTCTCTCATGTCTACAAAGGTTGGCTATCCAAAACGAAGACCAGAATGATCATGCCAATCATTCATCGTCATGTTATAGTACAAAACTTTGTTGGTTGATAACGATTGAAAAACATATATTACTTTGGTATCATCTTAATAATAAGGAACGGAATGAATTACAACTTTCGGAATGCAATGAATGGATAAAGAATTGGATCCAATGGACGATGCATGTTTTAGAGAATTCTTCTCATATGGAAATGGTCAAAACAAATTTGTTATCTTTCATCCAATTGCTATTGGCATTGATGTTGTCGGAGAAAGTGAATAATGAAACAATATTGTGCATAAAGGATGAGTCAACCCGTTGTATATCTCTTCATACAAATACTTGTGTGGAGAATCATGTTTGGTTACTTTTACAAATGCAAAAAATAGAGTCTGGAATGGATTGTTGGCTGAATAGAAAACATATGCAACATAAGATATTTGTGATAGGGATGGTCATCTCTCGATATCTTTGGATTGAGGTGAGTCGATCCTTAAAACCCTAAAAGTGGTTTTGACACTCAACACAATAATAGGAATCTCATTCTTTCGAGTTTCCATGGCTCAAACAATCTTGTTTTTCTATATTACATCGACTAGATTCGCGTAGAATCAAACAAACTATCGAATATATTTTATCCAAAAGGAAGGAATGGGACGAACTTTGTAGAATGGACAACCATATCTTGTGGCATTTATCAGATCATGTTTCAGTTGTTTTGTATTTGATACAAAATAGTATCATGGAAGAGTATTATGATGATCGACAAAATGGAAAACATGCACAAGAGAATATTATTAACGACGACGTTGTTGACCCAAGTCTATTGTTAAGTTTGATTTTTCAAGTGTTGAAAATATCATCACAAAATGGTAAACAGTATTTGTTCATATAATACAAGAGTGTAGATGTTGATGGGTTTCTATAGATGTCTCGAGGATGATCGATCAGATTCAACTATTTACTGACAAACATCTGATAGAATTTTGTATGGCTTGTTTAAGTGTCAAGAATGAAAAGATACAATGGATATCTCGTGCTTGTTTGGAATATGGGTTGAATATCCTATCAAGAACAAAGAAGAAGTATTTTTCAGAAGCTCAATCTATGGCAGTGTTTTTAACTCTATTGAAAAATAGTATGACAGAGGTAAGAGTTGTTGTATATTTTGGATATATCGTTGATGGGTTTATGACAATCGTATAGTTTCCAGTGGATTCCTTTTTGATTCGTTTGAATATTCAGTTGTGGGAAATATTCTGTCAACCAACGCATGTATTGTATATGCCACTCGTAAAGACTTGTTTGGATTCGGGAATGTCATGGGATGCTCCATTCTTTCGATTATTGAGCAAGTACGTAGAAGAAGAAAGAATGGCAAGCGGTAGGGAAGAGAGCTTACAAATTGCTATCAAATATAGAGAATGGTGTCTATCTTTGTTAAGTAGTAAGTAGAACTATGATGAGCGAAAGACATATGATGAATTTGGAATAGTGATGGAAACTCGGCAAGACTTTGAAATGATGGGTCGTATTGAAATATTCGAAGATTGTTGGAGACTCTTGTTTGGATATTCAGAGACGAAAAGGAATCAACTATTTTGTAAGCAGGGATTGGTCATGTTATCCAAAGTGATTCATCATGGAGAAGCTCAAATGGGTAAGTGGAATATTTTTTAGGGGATCCATCAGTACTCAACTCTTATAGTTTTGGAAATGGACAAGTGCTGGGGAGTTATTTCAGGTATCCATATGTTGTGGAAGAAATATCCAGATTGGTGTTGTTGGCTATTGGAGATTTATATCTCTTTTATGGAAAAGTGTGATGTTGAAATGTCTCCATTTCCANGGTTGGTAGGAATAAGCTTATGGAAGTCGTTGACAAGTCAATGGGAAAAGAATACCATTTCTTATGTCTCTGGTAGAAGAATCTTGTTGCGATGTTTGAAGATTTTCAAGAAATGTAAATGGGACATGTTTTCTAGTTTAAGTGAATGGAATTCGGTGTGGTTACCTAAACTGAGTAAGGAGCCTTTTCTACAATGGGAATATTCACGCTGGTTATTGAATATTCATTCTGGACAACCACAGAACAATGCCATCTTGTGCAAATTACATTGGCAACAACTGTTGATAGAAACTGGAAAGATGGAACCACAAATGTGGGACTCTCAAAATGAAGAGAATATGGATAATAATCATGATATATGGTATGAGTATGATAAGGTAACTCTTTTAAGAAAACCATAAAAGACCAAACAACATGAGAAATTTTAATGCCAACGATATTGTTGCACCGTTTGAAAGAATTTTGTAACATTCTCTTCTGGTGTATTGGGTAATACTCCGTGTCCCAAATTCATAATATGGCCGCAAGGTCCAGCTTTCTCAATAATTTCAAGAGTACGCTTTTCAATGAGTTCAGGTGTCCCTAACAAAATGGCGGGATCTAAATTGCCTTGAATACTAACATGAGAACCCTATCGAAACGTTACACATAATGACACTTTAAACAAGCAAAAATATTTACGATTCGTTCTCGTGCTTTTCCAATGTCAACTGTCCAATCCAAAGAAATGACATCGAAACCAACTGATGCCATCCTCTCCAAATAATGAGAACCTTGAGATATAAAGAGAATAATAGGAGTATCAGGATAATGCCTTTTCACTTGCTCTAATACTCTAAAGATACAATAAATAGCTTTCAGAATATTTCTTGACAACTCTCTCACCGCTTCTGATAGGGTAATGCAAACATTTCGTAATCGATAGGAGATAACTGACCAGCCCAACTGTCAAATATTTGAATAGCTTGAGCTCCCGACTCAATCTATTGAATATGAGTTTTCTTACTATTTAGCCAAAGTCGGATATGCTCGCCTGATAACAACAATATATTGCTAAATTATGAGCAAATTTTTCCAAAAGCTGATGCAACAATTCAGGTTCGGTAAATGCCATTTTCTTTATCGCAGAGTATGACTTTGAATTTCCACCTGCAATAGATATCTTTATATCAAAAGCAGTCGTCAAGATTAACAAACCGACCTTCCACACAATAAGTAGCCAAAGTATAAGGTGCAGCAACAAAGCCCAATACTGCAGCTTCATCAGATACTGCTTCTCTAAGAGCTCTCAACGTTTCGCTACAAAATGCTTTAGAAAAGTCAACGTTCAAGTTATCACATACCGAACGAATGGAGTGGAACGTTCTGGTTGCATTTCATGAACCTTTTCGATATCTGCTTTGGTTCTCAACGGTTGTTCGATAACAGGGCCCTACATTGTTGACGTCAACAAATATGAATTCTTCCACTTAGTCAAATTACTACTTTGTCTGGTATATCAAAAGCAACTCCCATTCCTGGAAGTGGGGTTAATATGTCACTAAATAGAATAACCCCATCAGGACGAAAAGCACGCCAAGGTTGCAAAGAAATTTCAATGGCTAGCTCTGGATTTTCCTAAAGACTTGCTCAGTAAGTATCTAAAGCTGGTTTGTTTTTTACTAACCGAACGCTCACGAAAAGAAGGATGTTTTTTTGCCAATTCCTGATAAACCTTCATATATCTCCCAGCTTGACGCATCATCCAAACTGGAGGGCGCTCAACTGGTAAACCTTTGGCAGCTCTATGAATGCTTAGCAGTTGAAACACAAGTGATTCAACAGTTTGTCAAACCTCAACAAAAGTGGAAGCTGTGCTTGATTCAAAGCATCTTCCTTGGCGCCTTTTAGTTGGTCACTTGTTGCAGTCATGGATATTTGCAATAAATGCTTCTTCCTAAAAACAAGGAAAGAAGAAGACTGTCTAAAGCAAAAGGCACAGTAATTTTTGGAGTGGAAACCACTTTTGTTTCTTAGAAAGGGAGGATAAGTTTGGTTGATGAATAAGAACCACATGAGAAGATCCACAAACCCAAACCCAATCTAAAAGGTTTTACAACCTTTGACTTATTTGATGAAAATGAACAAAACGAAATATTTATGAAACTGTAAAGTAATGTTGCTTAGGAAGGAAAAATTTGTGCCATTCACATTTGCTATCGGTTGTTGAGTGGTTGTCGTCCTTTTTGTGTGTGTTCATATGGCGCCAAAAAAGAAAGAAGAAGAACCTCAAAGAGCTGTTTTGGGAAGGTTTTCTCACAACTTGAAGATGGGCATACTTGGACTTCCTAATGTTGGAAAATCAACGTTCTTTAATACTTTGACAAAACTGAGTGTACGTTATTGCTTCCCCGTTAGAGAAGAGAATTCGGTCTTGTTTATTCACTTTTTAGGTTTCAGCAGAAAATTATCCATTTTGTACGATAGATCCTAACGAGGCAAGAATACCTGTACCAGACGAGCGTTTTGAGTGGTTATGTGAAGTATATAAGCCAGCTAGTAAAGTTCCCGGTTTCTTGGATATATGGGATATAGCCGGACTAGTAAAAGGGGCACATGAAGGTCAAGGTTTAGGTAACGCTTTCCTAAGCCATATTATGGTAAGAAAATAGAAAGAAATATGGACCTGGTTGAGTAGATTGGCTTAGGCAGTTGACGGGCTTTTCCATGTTTGTCGTGCTTTTGAAAAGGAAGACGTCGTTCACGTCGAAGGTAACGTGGATCCAGTTAGAGACCTGGAGATCATATCAGAAGAACTCATATTAAAAGTATGGAGATCTGAAAGGTGAATTTCTTAATTCCTTATTTGAATAGGATTTGGATCGATTGCAACGTGAAATACAAGAACAAGAAACCAAGATAAGCAGAGCTGGACATAATGCTTCAAAGGAACAAAGATTGGAGTTGGAAACGTTGAAGAAAGTGAAAAGCTTTTTGGAGGAGACAAGAAAGCCTATTCGATCAGGTGAATGGTCCAATAGTGAGATTGAAGTGTTGAATAGACATCTGTTTTTAACTGCAAAGCCGCAAGTTTTCCTCGTCAATCTTTCTGAAAAAGATTATATAAGGAAGAAGAACAAATGGTTGCCGAAGATTAAGGAATGGGTTGATTCTAGGACTGGGGAAATGATTATACCTTTTTCTGCAGATTTGGAGTCCAAGTTGTTAGATTTAGAGAGTCAAGGTCCCGAACTAGCACAACAATATTTGGAAGAGAATAAGGTAATATCCCTTACTGAGTTATTTGTATTTACAATGTGACTATTTGTATCGTTTTATTGCTATCGATTGTAATATTAGACAACGAGTGCTTTACCGAAAATTATCAAAGCAGGTTATCAAGCGCTCCATTTGATATACTTTTTTACGGCAGGAGAAGATGAAGTAAAGTGTTGGACTATTCAAAAGGGAACTCTTGCACCACAAGCTGCGGGAACTATTCACTCTGACTTTGAAAAGGTAGGATAAATACTCAGCTTTGTGTTTGCAATAATCCATTTCCTTTCAAATAGGGTTTTATATGTGCGGAAGTAATGAAATATGACGAATTGAAAGAATACGGTTCCGAAAGTGCTTTAAAAGCCGCAGGAAAGTAAGTTTGAAAACTCAAAATTCTATATTTGAATTCATTCTACTTTGTTATAGATATCGTCAACAAGGAAAGAATTATATGGTTGAAGATGGCGATATTATCTTGTTTAAATTTAATGTTACGAGTTCGAAGAAGAAATAACGCTCTATATTTACAATATTCATTCTCATCGTCATAGTAAAATACGTTACGAGTCTTCATTTTTGGTTTCTTGCGAGCCCATTGGAAAAGATCCATATTGATCATTCCAAATTTTATATATATTCAGATCTGTTGTTGCGACACTGGCTCGTACAAGTCGCAGGGCAGAAATGAAGTCTTCGTAATCAATGGACCTCACGTTTTCCAACTTTGACTGGTATTCAGTATTGAGGAACAAGGGATGATAGTTTTTCTTACAGATATGCTTTCCAACTGTTCTCCAAGTTCTCGCAAAGGGCCCATAGCAGCTTCTGCACAAAGAGCTCGCAAGTCGGATCCAGAATATCCTATCCGGATGATTTGAGAGGATAGTTGAGAAAACACTTGACTAACAAACCTTGGGTTTTTTCTGTTAGGCTTTCGAGCTGTTCTTCTGTCAAAGAATGCTTCTGCGAGGAAACAAGTCGGGATATAAGACATTTTCTTGCCTTTTGGGGCTTTGGTTCAGCTATGCACTAACATCATCGAAAATGGCCTTACTTCAGGGTCGGGTAATGGGATGTATAGTCTTTTTATTAGCCTGCGTCTAGCTGCCTCATCCAGTTCCTGAGGTCGATTGGTGGCCCCTAACCAAACTCTTTACGAGGTCTGTTTTGTGACTGAAACGATATACCAACCAACAACCAAAATGCGGTCATCGTCTGTTGAAGCAGCACCGTCCATTTGCACGAGAAATTCCGTTTTGAGTCGTCTTGATGACTCTTGATCCGCTTCGGATCTTTGTGTGAGCAGAGAGTCAATTTCATCTATAAAAATAACTGCTGGTTGATAGCATCTCGCTACTCCAAAGAGAGCTCGAACCTTGAAACCAACGATTTTAAGCAGAAACTGAATAATAGATGTTATCCTACCATCTTTTCACTTTCTCCAACCCATTTTGAAGTTAAAGAGGAAGCGCTAATATTCAAAAATGTTGCTCCAGCTCTAGAAGCTTTTTGCTATTAATTTTGCTTCAGCGTTGAACATGGCTACTTACCAATTGCTCGACCTATCATTGTTTTGCCTGTTCTTGAATATCGTCAGATGGGATTTTCGAATATTTTCTATAATTGAATGACTTACCCTGGAGGGCCAAAGAGCAAAAGTCCTTTGGGAGGACGTCGAATACCAGAAAATATGTCAGGTCGCATCATAGGCCAAACCACTGCTTCCAACACGCAACTCTTTGCAAATTCAAGTCCTTAAGAGACTATGTTCAAATACATCATCCTACGTATAGAAAATATTTACCTGCAATATCGTTCCATCCGACTCCAGGATTTTTCTCTAAAACTTCGTTCGTTATGAGTTCAACGAGTCGTGGTTCTACATTTGGTATTTGAGGGAGTTGGTTTTCTTCATCTTTCGACTTTATAGTTGCTTCAGTGTCATTATTTTCATTCTCCAGTCTTCGTGGGATTTGAAAACCTTTCTTTTTCATAGGTTGTCTTTTTGTTTGAATGTTCTCGCTATTGCTGGTTGAGTTAGCGTTGTTCCTATTATCCAGTAACTTTGAATGCTACACTGGTTAAAAATGACCAGACGCACTTGTTGTTGGCAAAGAGATATTCAGAAGCTCGTTGGAAAGTGTTAGAATTCGTTGGATGGTTTGCTTTGTCAGCATCTGATAGTATCTCTGTTTGATCTGATACAGCTTTTTTTTGTACAACATTTCTATCTGCTTCAACAAGATTTTTTTGCTGTTCATTGCTATCCATGTTTGTTTTGGTCCGGTTTAGAGTTCCTTCGTGAGATACACTATCTTCGCCACTTGTTTGTGAAATTCCTTGCAAACAACTTGTCGTTAAAATATTTCGCAAAGTTGCTGAAGAAACACTCTCGAGAGTTCCTTTATCAACCATTTTCCTTTGTCTTGTCATGGCTTTTGTAAACGTAGGATATTGGTTATTCACGTCAGCTCGCAGTTTCTTCTCGATATTTTCCATAGCTTCTTGGGAGTATAACTTGTCTTCCACTTTCCATAGATGTTCTTTATGCCTATATTTAGAAATTTAAGACTCTGATATGTACGGATACAAAATGATGACAACTTTAAAGCTTCTTTGTACAGCGTCAACGATTGGAAGACTTGATCTCCTTTCACTGTCCGAATATTGTCTGCAGCATTTTCAAGAATCAAAACTAGGTCTACTAAAAAGTTATATTTGTTTTCTATAGGTAGATTTTCATTCTCAATCTTGTAAAAGAAAGACTGAAGTAAGGAAACACTTTTGAACAAGTCAGGTGTACCCCACACATCTTGAATGGATTTCATGAAAAGAAAAAATGCAAATTCAGGCGCCATTTTAGTCGTATTTGAAATTTTGAAAAATTCGCCCGTTTGATGTCTTCTGCAGCCAACTTTCCATTACAGGAAAGTACAAGAGTAAATAAAGAAAATGAGAGGTATGTTGCTTTGCATAAAGGAGTTGTGTGCTTGATACATTTCTTCAATTGGAAAGGGAAGAGCCATATGAGAAGTTTAGTCAAGTGGCCGATAATGCTTGTCTTCAAAACACGACCTTAGACGACGTTGCTTCGTTTCTGAAAGTAGAACAAGAAAAATCTCCCAATTTCAAACGTTTGAATGCAATCTTGTTGGAGAGATTGAAGGAGACTGAGTCAAGTAAGCTAGTAAGACCAGAATTGGTATGCTAACTCCCTTCAATATAGAATTGCGGTCGTTAGAATCCGAGAAAGAAGAATGGGAAAGAAAATTCATACAGAATAATTACCAGGAACAAAATGAAGAACTATCTGAAAAACTGAGAGAGGCAGAAAAGCAAAAGAAGCTTGTCGAAGAGGAATTGGAACAAGTACAACTGCGAGTAGAAATCCACTTGAAGGAGCTTGAAAAGGCTCGTGAAGACTTTGATAATATCTCTAATTTATTTGAAGAGCAGTTGGAAGAAAATTCCACTCTGCAAGAAGAGAAAAGCTTTATTTTAAAGCAAGTTCGTCAGCTAAAGGATGTCAAAAAACAACTTGAAATGTCAGTAGAACAGCTCAGTAATCAGCTGAGCTCCACTTCCGATGAAAATGAAAAGCTGAAACAAAAGATTCAACAGTATCAGATGGCATTTGAAGTTCGTGATGAAGCCCTTCAGCAAATAAGCGCGGAGCTCAGAGAAAAGAGGCTTAAAGTGAATCAGCTACAAGTAGATTGTGCAGAAAAAGAGGACAAAGTCTTAAAGTTGGAAGAAGCAAAGGAGAACTTTGAAAAGAATAATTCGAAATTGGAGCAGTTGGTGAAAGAAAAACAGCAGTTTCTCTGTGAATTTCATAACTTCTTATCTGAATTCGAAACTTCAGTCGGTCAATTCATCCAGGAAGAGGAGAAAGCACAAGTCTCGAGTCTCGATCCAAGTTTGGAGACACTAAGTGTCGAGTCCTACTCGGAAACCAACGAAACTGCAGGTATTTATCCTTTTTTTTAAATATTTCTTCTTGTGATATCAAGATCGCTTTCTAGAATGGAGAGACCTGGCGAAACTCAAAAAATTGGTCGAATTACGTAATGAGCGCTTTTCAGTCATGCAACAAGAAATCAGTGAGTTAGAGAAAAAGTTGAAACTTCTTTCAGACACCACAAAGTCTCAGAAAGAAGAGAGTAAGAAGACTGTTATGATGAGTAGGCTCTTAACAGCAATTCGAGGACTATTTTCCTTTTGGTTGTTCCCAACAAAAAGGAATCCCACTTCCATGTCTTTATCATATGAAAAAGTCGTCGAGAGAGCGGAATCTTCTTGTTCCACACACTCTTAATAAAAAATCAACTCTTCTTTAAAAACCAATTTTAAATTTGATGAAAGATTATGTCAAGTTTTTTAGCGACTTGTTTATCAAAGGAATTTCCCTCTCTCCTTGTACATACAAGTCAGTCGGAAGTGTTTCAAGGTATCATTTCTGTTTTCGAAGTTGACTATTTTGTAAGAGTGGAAGTGGAGAGAACAAGGCACCAAAAAGTGAAATTGTTTGCAGACAACCAGCTTCGACAAGTATTGGAGGTATTTGGATTATTGTCTTGGGTCTCCTTGCTCTCACTTACGGTCAACTAGCCTTATTCTTCCATCTTAGCTCGACTTTCTGAAACTTGTGAAAGCGCCGAAGACTATTTGCTGAACTTGCGTTTGCTAATATCTCGTGCAACAGCAGTGACTCCTGTGAGTGAAGCTGGGAGAAAGTTACCTGGTTCCAATTTGTATCGTCGTCTTTTTGACGAACTAAATCAAGTTGGATGGGGTTGTATTTTGTCCATCTCTGAAGATCTAAAGGAAATAACTTTTGAATTGGTCGATGCAAAGGGAAGGAAACACTTGCTTCGTTGTGTGGTGACCGATGACTATCCATCACAAGCTCCCCTGTGTTCCATCGAGGCACCAGTCAACTTTTCTTTTTCATGGTTTAAAGGTAGTCAACCAGAAAACGACAATATAGCGAATATATACTGGCAGTGTGTGCAGTTCATTCGCGAACAACAAGAAGTATTTGATGTTTTGGATGATTGGGATAACAATACTTGGATTCTTGAACCCATGGAAAGTTTGCGAAAGAATTTGTACAGAAGGATAGCAGTAGATAGTCGATGTTCGCTATGGATGGAGATCTCTCCTCAGTGTCCACGTGGTATCCCTAACCTTCGTTTTCTAGGCCCAGAAAAGAATACAGCCTTGTTAAGAGCTCGACTCGGGGAAAACTTAGAAAAATGGAGCAATCAGTTTTATCCACGACAAAATTTTGAGAAACTAATGAATATAACCTTTCCATCAAAACCCAATACAAAGGAAGAGAAGGAAAGTTGTCAATTGGAATGCGGCATTTGTTATTCCGGTTGGCTGAGTAGTATTGGAGCACCTGATATCGCATGTGAAATGGAAAATTGTGGTAAATATTATCACACTACTTGTTTATATGAATGGTTACGTTCCCTTCCTGATGCTCACCAAAGTTTTGATGTTTACTTTGGAGAATGTCCCTACTGCATGAACCCTATTCGCGTCAGGAAACCCGAAATGTAACTCAATGTCTCACAATTTTAGATATCCTGAAACTGAATTTCAAATTTAACTTTAACTGGTCTGTGATCCGATAAATTATACTCAGAAACTGTTGGCCATTGTTCGACTCCCAAACTTGGCGGAAAAACAGTTGCTTCAATAGGAACCATTCGAATTTTGGTACCTTCAGTCAGTGATGAAGTAAGATATGGCATTTCTGATGAACCATTTTGAGGGTTCTTTTTAGTCAACATACATTCAGCTACATTTTTAGAAGAAGCCACCAATTTGAAGTACACTTTGTCTACCGCTAAACTCTGCCCTTTATGGTTGCAATGTGTAACGAGATTTTCATTGCCATGAATAAAATAATAGCTATTTGCAAAGCCACGACTGGCAACCTGTTGACAAACTGGGTCCTCCAAAGAAGAATTGAAGTCTCCCATCACAACAATGGCTTTCACTCTTCCTGGATGGAGTTCCAAATACGAGTCAATAAATTCCAACAATTTCTTCACTTCAGTTAAACGTAAACTTTTACCCCAATTTCCGTGCGGAAAGGAAAGATGAGTGTTGATAACTAGACAGTCAAAGGGATCCTCTTTCAGTTGTTGCAAGTCACTCTCAATGGGGTTTAGACGAAGAACAGTTGCCAATAACAAGCGTTCCCCACAGTCACGAAAATAATATCTTTCCGTATCTACAACCTTCCAATCACTATTCCTTCGCACCATGGTAACCAGTCCGTCTGCCTTATCCCCAGACCTCTTGGCTGTGTAAAATTCATACTCACTCGAAAAGTAATTCTCAAAAATACTGCACCATTCTGGTTGTGTACACCAGTATTCTTGCAAGCAAATGACATCTGCTTCCAACTGCTCTTTGAGGAAGGTTACAAGGTTCCGTGCCCTTGTTTTCCAAGACTCCTTTATTTGAGACTCCAAAGTCTTACAACCAGTGCTTCCTTGGAAATTCTGTATACTTTCAAAAAAAGCCTGGGCCCATTTCTTCCAGGTGCTTAACGACACCAGAGAGCGGTCGCTCTGCTTATCGCCACTTGTAAGTGCTAACTTTGTGACTTTTGGAGAAGACGTGAGGCACTCTCCATCTTTACAACTGTAGTTTTCAGCAACGCAAACAGTTCTTTCAGGAGGCTGTCTCCTATTTTGGTATTGTGCTGAACTTTCTGATACGTCTATTTTGCGGTAACACGGTGCCAATACATTGAAAGTAGTAACTGAAAGATTCGCTTTGAAGTTCATTACTATAATATTACTAGATATTCAATCTGTATCTATAGAGATATCTATTATGGAGAAACAAAAGTTGGAGAGAACATCATTGATGCACACCCAGACCAAGTCCCAAACCAATTGCCAACAAAGCACTTGTGGTTGTCATTATAGCATTCACGCATTCATTCGAAATCTTCCACTGATAAACATCGTAAGCATCGTAATGATTCTACAAAAATATGCATTTCTTACCTTTGCTTGGAACTTGGCACCGATAAAACTCTCTACATAATTAGCGATAAGAGAAGCAACACTGGTGATGAGCATTCCGTGAAAACTTATGCAACCGACTATCCAGGCCCAACAGGATAACAACAGTGCTCCAAGAATACCCGCAAGAGTACCTTCCAGACTAACTGCCCCGTCTGTTCCTGCCGCCACTGGTTTCCAGTTGGTAACCAAAAATGTGCGTTTACCATAAGCTTTTCCTATTTCACTGGAGACTGTGTCCGCCAATTTACTGCTAAGTGAAGCTACAAAGGCTAGTGACAACAAAGATACGTTGGATATTCCATAAGGAGACAAAATACCATACAACAGAGCACAAAAGGCACCTGAACCTGCCGCACCCCAAACATTCTCTGGGCCTCTAGCTCCACCTCGTTTTTCAGCAATTCCTCTTTCTTCCTTGATATGGCGACCTATTCTTGTACAGAGAGACCCCAGAATAAGAAACAAAACACAGGTTGACCAACCGCTATAACCCAAGCAACACCAAAGCACTAGTCCCAGAATATATGCGTGAAGAAGACCGCTACGTGTCAAGATGCGTTGATTGGAAAACAACAAAGCCCAAAATATTGCAGAATTCACAATAAAGGACCACTTCAAATTAACCAATACTAGATTATAAAGAGGCATCTCGTAAGGTCCACTAGAGAACCTTTTCGCTATAGGGGAACACTTTGTCTTGCAAACCTTGCCACGCCGACTACCTAAATTGGTTGTTCCACAATTAACACTGACAGAAGCCACAAATAAAGAAGGCTTTGGTTGTGACAAATTTTTCTGTTTACCGAAAGCAACATGAAAACAACTACACTGGCTTCCAATCAAGAAGCCGACTATCATTCAAAGGACAGCTCAATCTTGAACAGTGCGCTATCCCATTTAGACCATCTTACTTGTAAAAGCCATTATTTGTCAATAAGAGAAAAACAATTTGGTTATATATTTTATGGTATATAAAATTCTATACTATATTCATCTATTTGTTTGCAAAATAAAACAACATCGTCTTGTATCAAAAAAATTGTTTTGAATCAAGACTAATGCCATATTATGGAGATTACGTTTCATCTCCTTTAGAATTGTAAAATGTTACTTACTTTTCTGTCACTCGGAATTGCCTCACACCACATACAACCGAGAAGAAAGACGGCCTGTTATAAGAATAATAACCTTGTATGGAGAGCTTTAGAACAAAGTTGCTTGGGTTGTGGTCGTGAAAATGGAGTCATAAAGGGTTGCGATGGGAAGGGACGTATAGTTGGAGGTTTGGGAGCTATTTGGAATTGGTGGCCTATTAAAGTTTATAGGCCTTGTCCAGAAATATCGAAACAGGGTGGAACTTATCAAAGAGCAGGCCAAACTTNAGTAAGCCAAATTTTTCCAATAGTCTTTACAAGTTTAACTATGAGTAGGAAGAACTTTTCGGCATCAACGACGTAACGACTCTGAGTACGCATAAACAATCAACTAAAGATGACAAATAAAGAGTTGTATTATTCTGCAGATATTGAAACTTGGCCTTTGTCACTCCTCATATGTCTTATTGGCTATTTCATCTTTCCAGGCAATATGAAGTTCGTCTAGTTGTTCTTTGGATACTTTTTCTGGAGCTCCACTCATGAGTTCTAGAGCTGAAGTTGTTTTGGGAAAAGCAATAACGTCTCGTATATTTTCTGAACCAGTCAAAAGCATTAGTAATCGATCCAAACCAAAAGCAATTCCTCCATGAGGTGGCGTTCCGTAAGACAAAGCATCGAGAAGAAATCCAAACATTTCTCGTTGTTGTTCGTAGGGCATACCTAAGAGATGAAATACTTGTTGTTGTAATTGTGGCGAATGAATACGGATCGAACCTCCTCCAATCTCCTGACCATTACAAACCAAATCGTAACTTGCTGCTCGTATACTCAAAATAGAATCAAGGTTGTTCTCATAGATAAGAGGAATATCCTCCGCAACTGGACTAGTAAAGGGATGATGAACTGCAACACAGCGTTGTAGAACCGTATCGTATTCAAAACAAGGAAAATGGACCACCCAACAGAGAGAAAAGCTTTCTTTAGGAACAATTTGCATATCCTTAGCAACTCGAACTCGAAGTTTTCCCAAACCATTATTAACACAAGGCGGCTTACCTAAACCAAGCAAAATAAAGTCTCCTGCTGTTAAGTTGATATTCAATAAACGCAATGCATTTCCTATTGTGTCGCTATTTGAATTGGACTCCACTCTTTCTGTCAATTTCTTCAAAGGACCTTCTATGTCACCATTCTCTTCTATTTTTCCATACAATAAAGTTTCCAATCCATAGTCTTTTACAAAGTTCTTATACTCATCTATGCGTTTCCTAGTCATCCATGTTGACTTTTCAGGAATAATAAAACCTTTTATGATTTCTCCTCGTCGGATTCTCTCACTGACCAATTCCCATTCACAACTTTGAACCTCACGAGTATAAGTAATATCAAATAATTGCATATCGAATCGAAGGTCTGGAGCATCTACACCATAATAACGTATAGCATCTCGGTAATCCATTACAGGTATTTTTCCAATTTCATAATGTATAATCTCCTTGAAAACTTTTCTAATAAGGCTTTCCGAAACATTCATAACGTGCTCTCTATCCACAAAGGACATTTCTAAATCAATCTGAGTAAATTCGGGTTGGCGGTCGAAACGAAGATCCTCATCACGAAAACAACGAGTGATTTGAAAATATTTTTCCATTCCGGCTGTCATCAAAATTTGTTTATACAACTGCGGTGATTGTGGAAGTGCATAACACTTTCCAGGATGTACTCTTGAAGGTATAATATAGTCCCTGGCACCTTCGGCTGTTGACTTTGTAAGATATGGAGTTTCTATTTCAATGAATCCAAAGGAATCCAAATAAGCTCTAACTAACATACAAACTCGATGACGAGTGATGAGATTGGATTGTATCTGCCTTCTTCTCAAATCCAAATAACGGTAACGCAACCGTACCTCTTCGCTTATATCTTCTTCCTTTGTTTTGCCCGGAGTTATCGCAAACGGAATGGGTAAAGTAGAAGCAAGTATATCCAACTGTTGAACGACCACTTCGAACTCTCCATTAGGAACTGTATGATTGATAGCAAACTCTTCTCTGTGACATAAAATGCCTTTGACAGAAATGACATATTCTATTCTAATTTTCTAGAGACGTATTCTAAGAGTATTGACGCAGACAAAGATCGATACTTACACTAGCTATCAACCTTACATTATCTTCACAGCGTTGATCAACTGTGCACTGAACGGTTCCAGATCGGTCTCTCAATATAATAAAGATAATATTGCCTTTATTTCGGACAGATTGCGCCCAGCCTTGTAGAATAAGTTCACTTCCAACTTTGCTCTTATCTATTTGTTCACAGAGGCAGTTTCTCTCGATGGGAAGGGAAAGGAAAGGACAGGGCTCCTTAGGAAGTTCACTTACTGTATCATTCGTTGCTGAACTACAGACAAATGATAAAATATGGCTTCCTTTGGGCTTTCGAAATGTATGCCAAGTAGAAACCCAGTTTCTCGAACGTTTCAATAAACAGAACTTGCATAAACTGCCCTCGGCTGGATATTTGAAGAAATCGCTACTAGACGACAATAAAATATTTGTTGCATTGAGAAAACCAATCGAAACAAAAAGACTTCTGTTAGTGGACATGTCAACCAAACGTCTCATCTCAACGACTACACCACAATAAGATTAAAATTTATCTTCAGAAAATTGACGAAGCAAAGAGTTTCTTTAATAGTATTTATGTTGCAACACTTTATTTGTATAGTTAAGCAACTCCACTGCTTTATCAGGATCCATACAAAAACACCATCAACAATCCTATTCCAAAAGCAGCGTGCAGCAACGTGGCTATTATCTGAAATAAATACAGAGAACGGGAAGAGCCAGTAACCTCATCTTCACTGAAAAAGTTACGAAATAGTGTGACAGAAGAAACAATGGAGGCAATCACTATTACAATAGTATAAGACACCTTCGATAATAAAGTGCAAATCTTACCAAATGAAACAATATAAACAACTTCAAAAGGTATAATGCTTATGAGTGAAGCAAAAATGTAACTTGTGGAAGAATAACCATAAATACACAACAGATGCAAAATAGGTTGTCGACTTCGGGTGCAAACAAGAATCGCCCATAAGGTTGCCGGAATAACGATGTTATAGCCATACACCAAAACGCTGAAGATCCAGAACTTCCGGAAATTAACACCAGTTATACGGGAAACTGACGCATCTTGCTGATGGAATAGCGCATTGAAAAAGGTAAATAAACTGGAGTTGACGGATAGTACCAATATTACGGTTGTGGGTATCCATACCCAACCATAAATGTCGGCTTCTTCGTTATCCGGGTTGTCAAGAATTTTCTTGCCAATGGGAAACAGTGCTCGTCGACAACGAGATAGAAAATCCTAACTGCACTTGAGCAAAACACACACGAGAGAAAGAAGATCGAGTTTTCCTTACGGAAGTGTCCAAGTCGAAAAAGTTTTTGAGATACGAAAGGTGGACAGAAGCTGTCGTCTGAGAAGGTTCCAAAGATGGTTGATCCCAATTTTCCACATAGTGACTTGTGTCTGCAGTTCCATAGTCTGGTTCCAGAAACTCTCCTTTTCCAGTAGACATTATCGTTTCCCAACAATGTCTCAAAATAAATTTCAAGCTTGAAGAGTCTTCAGCATGACTAATGCGCTTTTGAAAAAAATTCAAAGTCACTTCGAACAAATAGAATAGAGTTTGATAGTCTTGTAGCAACAAGAGTGAATCCTTAAAGCATAAGAAACATCGATATACATTGTATGCCAAATGATATCTTCTGTCTCTGTTATTACATGATTACAACCATTACTAATTAAATATACATATACTGTTAAGTCAACCAATCATGTTCCAGAAAGAGCATATGCTTCTGAAAAGATTTCATAAGGTGTGGAAGCAACTTTCGAATTCTAGTCTTAGCCACGTGGAGGGCTCTTTTAGCATTTTTCCCCTTCAACTCCCCATTTGGATTATGTTTTCAAAAAGTTCATTTTGTACGGCTTGGCAAATATGAGGAAGACGAGGTTCTTTAATGGTAACTTTAGAAAGAGCAGCTATCGCAGCATGGGCTCTAAAAGAGACAACAAAGGACTATTCTCCATGTTGTATCACGGGCTAATGTCTGCGTTATTTTTGGTACGTGGTCTGGAATACAAAGGTCTCAGCTGCTAAAACCTTGCTCAGCTTGGTGGACTAACGCTCGTTGGTGTGGGAATATATGCGGAAGTAACCCACTCTGGTAAATTTGATTTGGACTGGACAAGTAGTACGCTTTGCTCAACTTAAATTATAACTTGGAAAGCTCACCCATGATAGGCTTCTGGAGTGCGGTTACAAACTTTGGAATAGCTGCTATAGTGGTTGGAGCAACGTTAGCAGTCATCGGAGCAGTTGGATTTGTTGCGTTCCAGTCCGGTTTTTGTGGAAAATTCTTCAAGTTGGTCTATTTTATTCTCTTGGTTGCAGTATTCCTTGTCTTATTGTTTATGGCCATAGTAACTCTTATGTTGGCTAACGGAGACAACGTGTCCACTCTTAAATCGACACTTTGTGATTCTTGGAAGAATACCGAGCAAAACCATCCTTCGTCTGTTGTAGCTATCGAAGACCGTTATAGTTGTTGCGGTTTTGACAAGGCATGTACCAATAGCGTCACAAGTGGTTGTAATTATACGTTGGACTGTTATCAAGCAATAACAAGTAAATATCACAAGTGGTATTTGCCCGTTGGTGTTACTAGCATAGTACTCGGAGGCTTATCATTAATAGACATTTTAGTAATCTGCTGTTTGTAAGTCTGCAAAGCTCAGACTACTGACGTGGCTCTTGTAAAAATACACAAGTAAACCAAAGAAACCTTCCTCTCTGCTTTTATATATAACATCCTTCTTTCCTAACTTATGACAAAAATTGTCATCTTTACAACAGGATTACTAGCACAACAACACTAGATTATTCAGGTTCTGTGTATAAAAGGGACACAAATATCTACAGTCACAGATCAAATCAAAAATTATGAAACCTTAATTATCATCAAATGGGTTGCGATATCGAGGTCCTTGGTATTTCCCGTTCATATCAGATTCTGAGTTGCTGCTAGAGCTATCATCATCATAGTAGTTGCTTTCAGCGGCTACAAATGTCTCACTTGAAACAACTCCTTGTTGTTCCAATGCTGTAGCTATTCTCTTGACATTTGATAAAAGAATATCAAATGAGGTTGTGAATTTTTTCCTCAGTTCATAGATATTGAAAGCTATACCTTGAACGTCTGCAAAATTGAAAGTATTTGACTCATTGTTCTCCGAGGCATTCTACAACAGGCTCAGAAAAGGTAATTTCTACATGAAGAAAAACTTACCTTTAAAGCATAATATACAGCTCGATATATCTCATCTAAGAAACCAATCAACTGACTCATGGTTTGCGAATCCATGATCTTCTGAGTAAATGACAAAGGTTCTGAAGCTACTCCATCTTTTCTCATTGAAGGCAACCGATAATACTCCTCTAATATGCTGTCCAAAGCCCTACGAACTGTGTTGATATCCAACGGCGTCTTCGCTGACAAGGTATGAACATCGTGATGCAACAAGTCCAATTCGTTGGAAAGTCTTTGATTGCCTTTGACTCTTCTTTCAAAATCTATCTTCAATTGTTCTCCTGGATCTAAAGATTCATTTCTACAACAAAATCAGCGGGAAAAACAAATACAAGTAAAGATCTCCTACGGTTTCAACTTTGACAAGTCTTCCTCGAGTTTCTTCTGCGCCGAAACAACTTGAACCCTCAACTGTGAGGCTTCACGTCTCTTCCTTTCATATTCCGCCGCTAAAGAGTCAAGTCGGTCTCTCAGATAGCTTTGCTCATTTTTCAAGTCTTTCAACTCTCCTTCAAGATCTTTGAAACGTTAAATATTACAATAAAACTCGTTGCGGTTCCATTACCTGTCACTTTAACTTCTATTTTCTTCGACTCAATAACTCTTCTATCAAAAAACTCTGATAGAGTTTCATTAAATGATATGGCATTGTAGGAGACAACTGTTCCATTAGCGCTTTTCTTATTGTTTATATCATTTTCCGTGATTGATTCCTTGTTCCCAACAGTAGCTTCTTTTCTCTCTGTGGCTTTTGACTTGTCCAAACTTTCCTGCAAAACTTTTGAGACTGAGAGTTGGCTGCTTGTAGATGTGTGCTGCACGTTAGTTTTAGGGACCAAGGCGTTATTAAACTGCCTAGATGAAGCAGCGTTTGACGAGTTGGACGGTTTGTTCTTGTTAGGCTGAATATACTGTTCACTTAAGTTCTTCAACGGTCTGAGCTGCACGTAGTCAACCTTCTGACTTTGACTCGAAGAATTTGGAGATGACAATCTTTTGTCATTGGGTGTGGACAAATCTGCAAAAAAGTCATAAACAGTTTTTCCCTTTGGTTCCTGAGATGTGTCAACCTCAATAAGGTTATTTTCATCATCTCCGAATATAAGATCCTTTTCCACTTGCTGTTCCTCCTTCTTCAGCTTCTCTTCTTTCACTGCAGAAGATTCTACCTCAACTTTACTCTGTACTTCGGGTTGTTCCACATCTTTGACTTTGTCACCACTTTTCCTTGCGATATACTCATCCATATCATCCAGCAAATCCAAAGGATGGTATTTCAAGTCACTAGAAAGAGGAATTCCGCGAGTACTATGACAGGAATTAAATAAAAAATATCGCAAATTGTGTTCACATACCGAAACTGTTCCTTTGCTATTTCTAGATAGTCTTGGACACGTGGAACTTGCAAAGTGTACAGAGCATAAATATCTCTAGCTCTAGATGCATTCTGAATGTCCAAATCGAAGAAGTTTTCTAAAAGACTAGCTAGATTTTCATGTATACTCTTAAACAAGTCAAGAAGGTCACAAGCAACAGGATACAGAGATATCACAGTCACGTCCTGTAAATTTGTAAGTACAAAAATCTTCAAATTTTTGTTCGCTTCCTACATTTACAAGAACGCCTTTCACAGTACTAAACCAGCTATCTTTATTCTCATCCTCGAGGCGTACTTTCAACAGAATCTCATCAAGCAACTCTTGCATTTGTGATAGAGTCTCAAAGATTGTATTTTTTGGAAGATCCGCAACAACACGTTTGCCAGCTTCACTACTATATCCTGTATATCGCGTTTAAAATAAGATTCTTTCGTCTCTACAAAATAACGCTTACCAAACTCGTCAATCATCTTTCCAGGCTTTGCATCATTCTTTCCGGTCAGTTGTTGCATCTTCTCAAAGCAGTGCAGTCTAAAACTGAGATACGCGGCATAACTTCGAATATAAACACTAACTTGAGGCCCCTCTGGTCTAGAGGCCGGATTACTGTCATCAAACTATTTACCATTTAAGAACTTCATGTTTCAAATTGAACTGGAAATCTACATACCCTTGTTAAGGTGGCAAAATTTACAAAGGTTTCTCCTGCATGTAAAACATAACTCTGCCTCTGCAAGAGGAACCGCTTAAAAGAGACGGAGTCTTCAAAACTCAAATCTCGAAAAATTCTTCAAGTAATATCTCAACCTTGCGTCTATCAAGACAAGCAGATCTACATACCTTTCGAAAACATATAAAGCTTTGCAACAAACTCTCCAATCTTGAATTTGACATTTGTTCCATAATTTCCTCACAATATCACTACAAGTCCTTACGTCTGCTCCTGGACTTCCTAAACCTGTGAGCAAATGTACTATCTGCTCAACATAAACTTCTCTAGGCGCCTTATACTTTGGCTTTGTGACTTTCAGCGTTAGACCTTCCAGATTACTCGATAAAACGGCCTTTACGTGACGTGTAACTCTCTACACTTCTCTTAATTCAATTCGAAGTAGTGCCATGAGAAATTTTTTACCTTGGTTTGGTTGCCGACAGTCTTTTTCGACTGAGGCTCGGCGCTAAATACAACAGGACCAGATGTTGAACGATAATAGTCTGCGCTTGCTTTCATTGTGTACGGCACCAAAGCGCCACTACTAGTAGGATTAGGGGTTGAGGCAGCAGAAACTCCGGCGACACTTCGATAGGCTGCAGGTTCCCTGTTTGCCCTTGTATAAGACTGAAAGCCGTTTGGCTGACTCCAGCTGTGACTGTCAAAAGAATAAGGACCGCCTCTAGAACTGAAAGAATCGTGGCGCCACTGAGGGGGTGCCTCCCTATAAGAGAAGTCTCCAACTGTGCTTGACCTGTTCGAAGTCTCCATAGTCCCGGTAACTGGTTTTGAAGACAGGTAGTCTGTTGCCATAAAAACAACAGTAGTTTCTTTTAAGAAAAAACTAATACTTTGCAGCGTCTACAAAGCCAATCAAAAGCGCACCAACAAATGATCTAAAGAAAACTGCCAAGTTGCGCTCAAATTAATCGAATGTAGTTACTAAATCCTTCGATCGACTAATTGCGTAAATTTCCAGAAAAGTTGCGGTCACGAAGAGGAACGATTTTTGACCACGTCCGCATAATCGATTTCCAAATTTGGGTTTCCACGTGAGGGGAGCATTCAATTCTTAACTGGACGAGAGGGTTTCGAAGCCATTGGAATGGGCTGAAGAGTTTACATAAACGCAATAGGCTAATGAGAGAGAAATATTACATCAGATTCAATATTGTAATATATTCTATTGAAATTATGAGCACTTGCAAATGGTTCAATATTTAAACCAGACGTTTTATCTTATTCTTGACTCCACTATCGGTGAAAGAAGAAGAGATACCGTGAAGAATAGTTATAGAGAAAGTGTTCTGGGACGATGACGAGTATAAGAATAAAGAACAACATGTGAACTACTTTGTTATTCTTAGAAGGAAGAGTATGTTGTTTTCCTGATACTCAGTTACACAGAAGTGTTTTTCACAACTTGGCAAAGCGTGGCTTCGCTTCAGTTAAAACTCATTTCTAGATATGGTTCAATATGTAGAGTAGCTTCTATGAAATGGAAGACGTGGAATAAGCTAAAGTTACTGTAATATAGCAAAACGGTAAACACTATCGTTCTTGTTCTCTAGAAAGTCACAACTCGTCGTTTTTTATTCTTCAGTAAAACAATCGGTGAATAGTCTCAAGTAAAAATATCTAATACTTCATCAATGTTTCATAAACAATGCAATTGCCAATACGTGATAGATTAAGAACCAACGATACAATACAAAACGAACAGAATTTGCATCAATTAACTAGGCAAAATTGTACGTTATTCCGCGACAATATTTCAGTAATTGTTTTGACTCTTGGAAGATTACATCCACTACTTGTATCGGCATCTGGAAGTTCAGAGTAGCCTTTAAAGATTCCCATGACGTGGTTTCAAGTAAATCCAAGTGTTTCCGAATAGTCTCCTTCATTGAGCCAAGCACTCTCCATTTACAAATGGATATCAAATTTCGAAACCGATGAGATGATGAAACACCTTCCGTTTCATCCAGTGAGTTATCCGAGTTCTTTTCCAAAGCTTCTATAATAGCATAGGACCGTCGCAAAGCATGCAAGAAAAGTTCCTTCTGTTCCTTGATAGCATTGTCATTAGCAGTTTGTGCATTCTTTAGTCTCAAATTGGCAGCGTCTATTTCACCTTCAGTTGCCTGACTGGCAGCTTGTGCAGCCATGCTCAGTTCGTCCTTTGCCAATTGTACGTGTTCTTTAACCCTATCGAATAGTTTGCGAACAAACTTCCATCTCCATGCTACACTCAATTCACTTAAAACCTTTTCGTTATCAGCTTCCACACTCAGGTATGGAATCGCAGCATCGAAAACAGTCGAGCAGTCTATTATTCGATATAACCACAACTTTTCCAAAACATATTCCAAATGTTGGGGTGAACTATTCCAATAATTTTTCATTTCTGACATAATTAATCTCTTCATATTCGCTCTATCCATTGCAAACAATTTTCTCAAGAGTCCAAGATACCGTTCCGTCACTACATCGAAGTGACTAAAAGTCTTTGATCCAGCTATAAGCAAAGCACGACAGAGAGTACAAAATGCGGAGGACAACGAAGATTCAAACGGAAAACGAAGAGAAAGGAATTCCTCGATTTCAGAGGCGTTCTTGCGCTCCTTACCAATCATATGTTTTGCGAGTTCCTTTGCTACTGCTGTTTCTTCTTCTGTTTCATTCAATATTGCTTTGCCTGGTTCTATCAGAAGTTCACGCAAAGAAGCAGGAATGGCGCTGCTAATGTGTTCGAAATAGGAAAGTCGAAGACATTTATACAATACGTCCTTGCAGAATACTAACTGATACAATTGTTTCTCGGTATCGTATGTTTCCTTGTCGGTAACGAAAACCCAATCGTCCCAATTCCACTTATATCCAAAGTTACTTAAATGACGGGCAAACCAATCAGTTAATCTGTCGAATACTTCTGCATCATATTTATCTGCCATGTCAAAAATTTCTTCTACGGCCATCAAAAGTTTCAGTGGAGCTTGCGAGCCCTCCATATAACACAAGTCTATGAGAAGAACATGATAGTAAAGAATCGACTCGTCAGTTGTCGGCAAATGAACCATTTTGGATAGTATTGCGCGAATAATATGCAAGTGTGTTTGCATTTCGTCAACAAATGGTTCTACTTCCGAAAAAGAAAAGGAAAGGAGAACAGCTGCTGCCAAGGAATGATTATCCTTCAAACTATCAATAGTATCACTCACTAATTCTGATGCATAAAAATCTCTCAAAATATCAGCATCATTATCAGTAGGAGAATACTGCATCGTGTTATCAGAATTCGTATCATGAGCGTGATGGGAAATGTCAGTTTGTGAATCCATTCCTACTAATAATTCATATTCCGGAAATGGATAAACATGATTTTTGCTATGCAAAGGAATCGAAAGCGAAGGAAGACTTGTTTCTAAACCTCTCGCGAGAGTTGTGTCAAAGGCATCATACAGCCAATGGACGTATTTTCGAGGCCATTCTTCAGCTTCTGCGCGTTGCATCACTTTTCTCAACTTGTGTATCTTTCCCAGTAACCAATTTTGCTCCATCGGAACTAACAAATCTTCAAAGGATAATGTTCCTCCTTCTCCTTCATCAGACACATCGGTTGCCTTTTGACCAAATAAAAAAATCTTATCCAATAGAGACTTTAATTCCATAGCACAGCGCTCACGAAGAATATTTCCACACCAAGGTAAAGTAGTAGTACATAAACAGAAGAGCCATTCCCTCCTAGCTTGAGGATTGCCTCCAAGAGAAGAGTCAGGGGATTTCAGAGCTTCATCTATAACAATTTCCAACCAGCGAAGGAAGCTTTTGGGACTAAAAACTGCTGCTTGCGTTAAATTCGCACAAAAACGAAAAACGGCGCGACAACTTCGAAATGAGCAACTGTGAAGATCTCTTTCTAATCTGTCGCGAATACTCTCCGCCAGATACTGCACGAACGAGTAACACTCTTCACTACCGGATGCCGCAAGAACTCCACCAAGAACTGCATAGGCAACTGACTTTTGTGGCAAGAATATTGCACACTCTACCAGAGCATCTGCTATTTCCTCTATATAATGCCTCTCTTAAGTTGGCACTACAACTAAAGATAGCAACTTACTGAAATCGCCAGAAAATTTGGGACGTAAAGTTTCTGAAGCTTTGGAAACCTGTGACTCAAGATCTCCTTTATGTTTGACTTTATCGCCTATACGAGCCAAATAGTGCAATACTCGCTTTTGTTCCATCAACCCACGCCAATCTAAAAGGCAAAGCTGTTTTGGGTTTTTAAATGAAGTGTCTGTCGGCTATTGTTTGCCTTGCTATCGTTGTTTGTATTGAGACTTTTGAAATACATTGTTCAGTGGCAGTGAGCCTCGATACCTGTGAATCCACTTCATGTTGTTACACTAGTTATTCTTCTGTTCTACCTTTCCCTACACTTGGCGCTCATAGTTCCTCCTTCATCCCGAAACCTTGTGGACTGGAGCAGACGGAACCCGTCTCGACTTTAGAGAATACGAAACAATGGTAAGATTATCACGATATTCATGTTCTATCTGACGTATTTTGAATAAGGGTGGTGCCTGAGGAATCTTCTCTTGTAGAAAATAATACCTTTGTCAGTTCTGACGAGGAAGAAAGGGAAGGAAATGAGGAGCACTACGTGTCTCTTGAAAAATGGAGAGATAAAGTGTATTTTGATATCGAAAGAGAAAGAAAGAAGGAAGACAACAGTAGTGAGCAGAAGGTGGAACAAATAGAGCCGACACCAGAGGTTGACAGTTTTGTGCCAGTGGAGAAAAACTTGCATCGTTTTGAAACTTTACAAGAAACAAAATCGGTTCTTGAACATTTAGTTTGCAACCCTCCAAGAGAAGAACGTCAGAGCAGTAGTTCTGTTGAGAATTTTGGAGATAGTGTTAACACTTACTTTCCTGTGGAATCTGATGCCGGAGATGTTGCTTGTGCCACTTTAAAACATCAAGGAGTTTCTAGTCACCTGATTGAATCCAGTGCTGTGAATGCTAATCATTCAGAAGCTTGGAAATGTGATAAAGTTTTAGATAACGAATGGTCTGTGTACAAGTTGTTTGCCAAATGTTTGCAATTTGTGAACAAAATTGGCGCAGCTTTCTCACGAAAATTACGTAACGAAGTAAGTGAAACTGTATCACAAGATGGTTTCAACTTTGCATCCGTCGATGCTGGAGCAAGGATACTTGCTGCCAACAAAGGTTCTACTGGAGCCAAGAATGTTTTACATGAAGACAAAGACAAGTACATGCTGAGTCCATGCAAACACAATAGATGGGTCGTTATAGAACTTTCAGAAGAAATTCTTTTGAAACGAGTGGAGGTTGCCAATTTTGAATATTTCTCATCTTTTCCTAAGAATTTGGTGCTACTTGGTTCGCAAAGATTTCCAACGGATAAGTGGATTTTACTACAAGTTGCAGCATTTAATGAGACTAGGGATATTCAATATTTTGAAATTCGAGGTGATGCCTTTATTCGATACTTGAAAGTCCTCTTTGTTGGTGTTCAAGGGAGAGAATTTTTCTGCACTATTTCTCTTGTCAGAGTTTTTGGGAAGCGATTGGTAGATGATTGGAAGGAAGCCTTGGAACAGTCAAATAGGGATCGACACGTTGCTGCAGAAGTCATAGCAGGAGCATCTTTGAAGAAGATAGCTTCTGTTTCCAATAAATGTGGAATGGATGGTCGAAACTGTTCAGTAAACTCAACTTTATTGGGGTCTCCAAATATTCCAGGAGTTTCACTTGAGTCAAACTATACTTGCATCGACGACGACAACAACAAATCATGCAATGAATCTTCTTCTGAAGCTTTTACAAGATCACGCTTTGCAGGTTTTACTGGGATATCTGAAAATTTCCAAATGGAACAAAATGACAGTTTTCAAAATATAAGTGCATTTTCTGAGGCAGTTGAAGAAAGTATATTTCGTCAGTTGACTAGAATGTTGAGACAGTTAGAACTGAACCAGACTCTCGTAAGCCAATATGTCGAGCTTCATCTTGCAGAATATGCTGCAAGTTTGTCAGACGCGAAAAGATTGGCAGTTGTTGCTAGACAAGAGTCTGAAATACTTCAACAACGTCTACAGCAGTTAGAAAAGACTGTGCCTTCCGTAAGACTAATGCCATGGTTTGGCTGGATTGGGACTCTTTTCATTATTTATTTTTTTGGGTTACTTTCAGCAACTGCTTTTCACCACTATTTCGGTGAAGATATTTTAAGCGTTTCTTGCCATATATCACCAATTGCTGTTTGTAGACAAGTTTTGGGCCAAGTTAAGGTTATTTGGTGCAGTTGGACTAAAAGACAACCCAAATATTTTTCGAAGATTACCAGCAAGAATTTTTCTAGACAGCTTGTGAGAGTTAGAGAGTCTAGAAGCAAAAGCACAGGACAGATACTGTCCATTACCATGTAAATGATATCACACTTGTATGTTCGACTTTTGCCAGTTTAAAGTGGCGATGAGTTATTGATTCGATCTCTTACAAAGATTATCTGTTGAAGGGAATGTTGGCAGGTACGATGGAACCGAGAGAATGTTGGACCATAGCTTTCGGTGCGGCTGTATTAAATTTTTTGCAAGTATCGTGTTTTTTCATAGCACCTGCAGTATTGCTGCCTTTAGTTGTGAAAGAATTGAAAGCTTCTTTGGCTCTTGCCCCTTTACCTATAGCGATTGGAAAGATTGCCTACGTGTTGTTTCTCGTACCAGAAGGTGTGATTTTAGACTCAGTTGGTCCTTGTGTCTTCCTTATAGTAGGCTTCATCGGTTTGAGTATAGTTTCATTTTTGTATTCCATTTTGGTTCGAAGCTTTACTGTACTCTGTTTATTTCATATATGTTTGGCTGCTTTTGCTTCGGTTACTGGAGTGCCTGTTTATTCTCTTCTACTTTCTGAGCTGTTTAAAGAAAATTTAGGACTAGCTTTGGGTTTAGTATTGTCAGGCTTCAGTTTAGCAGGAACTGTGATTCCTTTTACGCTTGGTCCTTTAGCAGTCCGCAAAGGGTGGAGACTCATCTGGAAACTGCTTTCTTTGATTTTAGGAACTATTTCCGTTCCTATAGCTTTCTACATTTGGAGAAGATTTCCTGCAGCTGCTAAAGGACTGAAAGATTCTGAGTCCTTTCCGAGGAGTCCGAGTTCCATTTCGTACTCTCCTAGATTTTCACGAAGAAGCTTACAAGATAGAGGAAAACTATCTTTTTCGGGTAGGAGTTCTCCAAACTTGAGAAATGTTTCGAGAAGATCTCTCAGTAGAAGACCTAGTCGAATGGACAACAGAAAGTTGTCAGGTCTGACGAATACGGGTTCGATATTCTCACCTATTTATTTTTCACTCATGATTTGTTATATTTGTGTGCAATATGCATACGGTTGTTTTAATGAGAATATTCTATTCTTTTTAACTGTGGATGCGGATTTCTCATTAGGTCATGCATCTTTGATTTTGTCTCTCATTAATTGTGCTGCTTTTGCTGCGAAACTTGTCGGAGGTCATTTAGGAGATACACATGATCGATACAGACTTGCTGCCTTTTCTTCAGCTTCAGCTGCTGCCGGAATTATTATTTTATTTCTTCCTGGAACCAATGCAAGTCAGTATACTCGTCTGCCGTCATTGGGAACTTCCAGTTTTCAATTTTTTCTCTTTGCCATAGCTTTTGGAGCGGGATATGGGTCGACTTTTAATTGTTTGTACTCTATTGTTCCAAATGTTTTTCCTCTTTCGCGTATTGGTGTGGTACAATCTTCTTTATTTGGTAAGCTCCATGAAAGATGGCCGAGTAACTGTTGAATGACCGTACTATAGGCTTTGGCTTATTAGGAAATGCAACAGGAGCATTAATGACTGGAAGTCTACGTGAATGGACTGGTTCATATGACCTCTCCTTTTCAGTTGCCTTTGTTATGTGCTGCATTGCGTTTATTGTTTTTCATATGCTTGAAGTAATTGAACATCATATGGTCTCTTCCAGCTTTCATTCCGGTAAGTGTTGGGTTTTTCGTCGAAGGTTGGAATGAATAACGTTACAAAAGATGAGCAAGTTCTTTCGTCTGAATCCACTCAGCCAATGTACAAGTCAGAAGTATCCATTCCTCTTCATCAAGAACAAAGTACCAGTTATGACACAAATGAGGGGCAAACTGCAAAGGAAAATGAATCCTTTCTTAAGAGATCTACCTCATCTATTGCCATGTTACAACATTCAAAGACTTTTTCTTCCCTAGTTGATCGAGGGGTACTTAGTTATTCTTTCGATTTTTTGCCAAATATATCGGTGGATAATGCGTCGGATGACTCTTCGGAAGACGAGGTGGAAGAGGACAATGAAGAAAATGAAACCTAAGTTATATATAAAGTCAACTTTAGTCAACACCACGAAAGTAATATTCGACTATAACTTGAGCCACTTTTGAGAGAAAAAGCTATTTGTTTTCTTCAGTGCATAAAATCTTTCGAACTTATTGATAACGACGTGTTTATTGACTTACCAAAACTTGTGACACACACTTTTTTGGGTTGCAACAAGGTTACTCGATGTTCCAAACTCTTTCAAGGTACAAGAAACTGAAATATCCCGTTTTCAATATCAACTATCTTCTGTAATATTCACAAATTCATGTTTCTTACGTTCAGGAATCGCAGTAAGTGTTCCTGGCGACCTGATATTGACTCAACACAGTTTCATCGTACGTAACTGAGAAAACGACTTACCCCTGGAAGCCGACTCTAGTACGCGAACCTTCTTCAGGTGATTGAAAAATGCTCTTTCTCCTTGCACCGTATTTGGAATGAAACTGTTGCCAAGACTGAACTCTTTCTTTTAAAGCCTCTTCCTTGCGCCCCTTTGACTTTTTAGGTTTCTTCGTTACAGGTTTCACAGTTGGTCCGTTGTTAGCTCCAGAATGCCTTTGTTCCTTTTTTGGATAGGAATTGTTTTGCAACAAAGTGCTGTTTATATTTTCTGTATCAAAGTAGAGTAAAAGAATGAACAGGAGTAACCAAAAGCACTCTCACCTATTTGAATACCTTTGGACAGCAACATCTCTTTGTATGCGGCTATAATGTCTCTGATATCTGCTGCTATGCCTTGAAGTTCATTTTGGTCCGCGTTGGGTTCTCTCAACTTTGTTTCTATTTCCTTTAGTTGCTTTTGATAGTTGAGTAATTCTGCTTGCAGTTGCCATACTGGTGCAGACAAATCCATTTCCCGTCTTAGAATTTTCTTACCATAAATGAACAAGGAGATGATATATTTCTTTAGGATCGATACAAACATATGACAAATATATATACAAGAGTAGAAGTATGGTTTATGAGAAGCACAAAGATAAAAGAAGAAAGAGATGTTTTTGTTTTTCCTCTTTCATATGAAAGGGTAGCTACTTTGTATATTCCATCACAATATGAAAGGAATATTTGTTCAAGATATTATTGAAATGATGAAGTCTTCAAAGTTGTCGATGCAACATTTTGTCACAATCTAATATTATTTCAAGAAAATGTCATTTTTGTAGGATGATCAAAGGACAACCCATGAAACCCAATGATGATGGTTGTTTGTGTTTTGCAGCTTCTTATTTGTTAAGTACAGGAAGAGTTTTTATGAAAAGATATTTATGGAGGAGAACCAATCATGGCTTACTGGAATGGGGTTGGAGGACACCCTCCTTGTCTATACGTTCTAGCACAAATAACTCCCACCCACGTCATAAGTCTCCTCGTTCCATAGCAAAGTTTTTGGAATCGGACTCAGAAAATAGTAACAACAAACACCTTTTATGGAATCCAGAGCGACCAGCAACAAGTCTTCTAAAGTATGTGCTGATTACTGCTTTTATATTTGTTACTTTCTGTGCGTTGCCTTTCACTCTTCATGCACTTCCCTTTCTTCTTATATGGCCAGTGGCGACAGTGAAAATGATATTCATTCCTATTTTTATTGGTCTAGGTCTTTTTATGGGAAGCTATTTCATCTTGTTCAGTATTACTGCTTTAACCTTTGTTTCTTTGACCTCTCTTTCTTTTCTGCTTCCACTCATTGTTCTATTCTCTTTCGCAGTGTTATTACAAAGTTCGAAGAGAAATCAAAACCAAAACCGAGTTTCTATTCCCAAAGGAAACATGGTAAGAGACACAAATATTGAAAACAGAGATGAATGGTTTGAGACTTTACATCGGAGAACACAAGATGAACTTGAACTCTTCGACAATCGTCTTAGACAGAAAACCAAACCTGCAGAACTGAAATTGTGGACAATGGAAGATATTTTGGATGAGTTAGTCTCTGCTGATTTGGAAGAATATATCACAAAATTCCAAGAGCATCGAATTGATGGAAGAGTCTTGTCACAGCTCACAGAAAAGAATTTGAAAGATGATCTTGGCATATACAAACTTGGAGATAGAAAGAGATTGATGACTCTTTTTCGAATAAGAGAATAGTTTTGATTCCTAAGATGACCTATTGTTGGTAATGGGTTTTGTTTTCACAGAGAATGGGATGTACCTAGTCTATTCCACTTTGTATATATTTACTTGATATCCAAAAATGGTATTCTTTGTGATTCGAGTGAAAACTATAATAGATACTTGTCATATTGTGATAAAGCAACCTTGACAAATGATTGCGGATTGATTTCTTTTTGACGGATGACGGAGGAAGATAGTGACTCAAGTTGTAACAACCAAGTTCAAGAAGAACTTGAAAAAAGGTTCCTTGAGTTGAAAGATGAACTGTTGAAAGTAATAAAGCAGCTGAGAAAGAAACCAAAAAATGAAAAACTGTGTCGACGCAAGGAAGAACTTACCGGTTAGTTGGAATAGTCTTCTTTATGGCCATTCTCATAACTTGTTGTAGAAAGTATGCGTGCCATTACAGAAATGATGATACAAGATGACAAAGGTAAATACTTGAAGTTTTTTTTTGAAAGTATTTGACTCCAGTAGATGGGGAGGAAACCAAGAGAGTCTTCGAGGAAGGCGAAACGGAACCCAAAGTAGGTCAAGACTATAGATTGAGATTGAGACTGATAGATATTGTAGGAAGTATCTGCGCGCTCTTCTTTGGAAACAACACATTCTGTAGATAGTAGTTTAAAAGCAAGTTCGAAATCGAGTTTTACAGAATTGCCTTGTAAAACAGAAAGTAGTTTTGTAACTCCATTGACTGATACGAAGCTGCAGAGTTTGAGAGCAAAAAGTATTGAAATATCCAAAGAAATTGAACAAATCGATCAACTGGAGAATCCTAGCGACAGTGACCTTATGAAACGAAAGAGTTTGGAACGTATGTCTCATATTTTGAGTATTTGTGACATCATATTGAATAGAATTGTAGTGGAACTTGAACGCATTGCAGAAGAATTGTTACAGCTTGAAATGGATGAAGAGGAGGATATGGAAGAAAGACAAGAGTCAGCAACCAATTCAAGTTGCAGTCCTTATTGTGTAAATACAAAATCAATAGAACCAGAATTGCCAGGAAAGAGTAGTAGTGGTTTGGATAGACGAGTTGATACTGATTCCATCTCTCGAAATGAAAGCAATTCTATTTTGAAAAAAGCTGAAACAGGTGTACATAAATGGATACAATCCGTAGTTTCAAAGAATTCAGATAATGCGAATTCTTCTTTATATGATTCCAAACATGGCAGTACAGATTCTGATGAAGAATTGTGGAATGATTCAGAGATAAAAAACAGATATCAGAAAGGTTCTCACCGTAGTCAGTCAGAAATAAGAAGTGCTGTTGAAGAAGCTAGGAACCGATTGGCAAGAAGAGGAGAAAAACTTGGACAACTTGGCAAAAATGCAGAAGAAATGCAAAACCAAGCAAAAGCATTCATGGAAGCAGCATCGGAACTTAATCGTCGAGAACAGCGAAGGACTTGGTTTTGAACAGAAAACTATTTGAAAGTTATTTTACTCCAACTGTTGAGGCAGAAACTGTAAAGTACTTATCACTTGTTATTCTGTGAAGCCTGACTTTTTCTTTTTCTTGCTATTTTTTCTTCTATTTCATCAAACATTGCGCCTACTGCAAAGAACTTTCTAGTCACTCTAGTCCAACCACCCAATTCATCAACTCTAAACAATTTCTTACAACGAGGAAAGACATGATTGACTTGACTCTTTACATTTGAATGAACAGGTCTAAATCCAACACCCACAAACTCCCATTGTGCTTCTTCTTCAAAACAATAAGAAACAAAAGCATCACTAATATCTCGGACACCATCCGAATCGGCATTTCTGGCAACTACTGCAATAGGATTCTCAATCAAACAATTCATATCAGGAACAATATACGGCGCAGATTCTCCAAACATGGAAGCCAATATACCTTCATTTTCATATGTTATTAAAGCGTCTCCTTGTCGTTGTAGAAAGAACATTGCACTAGAATCTCTTCCATCTTTGCACCAAAATGGAGCATTGTAAAATACTTGTTCAACATAGGTTTTGGCCTCAGTTTCATTAGAACCACGAAATACTTTGTGACCCCAAAGAGAGAGAAAGTTCCATCTAGCAACTCCAGCAGATTTGGGATTGGTTAATACTACTTCCAAGTCACTTCTAATAAGGTCATCAAATCCTCTAATTCCTTTAGGATTCCCTTCGCGAACCACTATAACAGTTACTGACTGAGCAACAATAGAATGGTTTGGATAACGAAGTGGCCAATCTTTATCCAAATACCCTGCTTCTCCAATTCGATCCATATCAGCACCTAAAGCTAACATGACTACATGCGCGGGAAGACCATCAATAACTGCTCTCGATTGTGCACCAGAGCCTCCATATGATTCTGCTATTCGAACAATTTCTCCAGTTTTTTCGTACCATAAACGGCAAAACTTGGGTATGATGGCCTTGAAAGCAGGACGACATACCGCAAAAGCCGCAATCACGATTTGTCGCTCTCTTATGGTCTTTGAAGATATCAAAGTAAAAGGACTTGGATGATATGCCAACGCGAACTTTCGTGGATGGACAGAATCGCCAAAGAATCTACTTGAATATATTATTCTGCGAAGGGTGAAATACTTGAATAAAGAGATATCAATCGATCCAAGTTTAAAAACAAGACGTTGTTTCCACAAATATCCACAACTTGAAGCAAAAATAAAAACCAACGATTGTCTATTGTCTCTCATTGAAGAATGAAAAATCAAAGCGATTGAAGAGTCGTAACATGAACTTGCGTTTTGGGTTGTTTCTTTTGGCAACTATGATCTGCTTGGTTACTTCAGGTTATAGTGCCAAGTTTGTGCAGAATTGTGATATGGCAGAAAATGAAAGAGTTGCTCTAAGGTTGGTAGTTTAAAAGGGGAAGTGGATAAACCAATCGGCTTTAGGAATCTTGTGAAAGAAATGTTTCGGTTTGGTTTTGATTCTTATATAAAAGCTGCTTATCCTCGCGATAACTTGATGCCTTTGTCTTGTAATGGAACTGACTCTATGGGAGGTCTATTAGTAACTCTAGTAGATAACTTGGATACTTTATTGGTAAGAGATATTTGAAACTGTGAATGAGTAGACATATTTACTACTCTTCAGATATTTGAAGAATATTCGTTATTTAAGCAATATACTCTAGAACTAGAGTCTCTATTCAATGTAGACATAAATCGAACAGTCAACATATTTGAAACTACCATTCGTGTGATTGGGGGCTTACTATCTTCTCATGTACTGTTGACGGAGGCTTCCGATGTTGTGGGACTTGCACAAGACTTTTTCCCAGAGTATAGGTATTTCAAGATACATTATTATGATTGGCATTGTTTTTATACAATCGTATAGTGGCAGTCTGTTGAAGATTGCAAGAAAATTGGCAGACCGATTTCTTCCTGCATTTGAAACTCCTACGGGTATTTCGTTTTGTTTATTTTGGTTATACTTTTTTTGATATTCATAGGGATTCCATTCGGAAGTATTCACCTCATCAATGGTGTTAGTACTAGTGAAAGTCTGATTGCTTGTACTGCAGGAGCAGGAACTTTGTTATTGGAGTTTGGGACACTTTCTAGGCTAACTGGAGACCCAAAGTGAGTTGAGTGGGTAGCTATAGTGATATTGTCTGAAATCCATTAAAAGGTATTATCATGTTGCGTATAGAGCAATGAAGAGGTAATTATAAAGCTCGTTTTGTATGCATATTCTTTAGATAACCTATTTTTAGTTTATTTGCACATGCTTCATCACGAGGCTTGTTAGGAAAGCATATCCATATTCTCAATGGAAAGTGGTTATATAATGTGACTGGAATTGGAGGAGATGCTGATTCTTTTTTTGAGTATTTATTAAAGGTACTGTTGTGATATGAAGATATCTAAACATGTTTTCAATGGACAAAGGGATTTGCTTTATTTGGGGACTATGAATTGCTCAAAATGTTTCAAAGTTGTCATGAGAGTATACGGAATTATCTTTGGAATGTGAGTTTGTATATTCTACATTCTTCATTGAATGACCAAGTAATGGTAGGAACCTTGGTATTTTGATTGTGACATTGAGAAAGGAACCGTAGTTTCTTCAGTTCAAAGTTCTCTGAGTGCGTTTTTCCCTTCCTTAGAAGTACTTTGTGGAAATATTCAAACTGCTTCGAGATCCCATAGAGCTTTCTGTTCTATTTTTTCAAAATTTGGAATGCTTCCTGAAGCTTTCAGTATTAAGAAACGAACTCCTGTCAAAGGCTCCAATGGATATCCTCTACGACCGGAGCTTTTTGAAAGCAACTTTTATTTGTTTTGGGCTACAGGTGACCCTTCATTGTTATCCATTACCAGAAATGCTATTTGGTCATTAGAGGTTTGTATTGGAACAATCAACGAGTGTTCACAAGTTATTCATATGCAACATTAGAACCTCACCAGAACACCTTGTGGTTATTCATCTATAAGAGATGTGAACAAACATGATCGAGATGATATAATGGAATCCTTCTTTTTAAGTGAAACCTGCAAATATCTTTTGTTTTCGGTAACTCCTGACCATTGGATATATAGCGGTCGTTTCATATTATCGACTGAAGCACATCCCTTCCTAGTACCACCTGCTTTTGGTGATGAAAATGATGGTAAGATTGTTGATTTGCTCAAGGTTCCAAAATGTCGTCGCAAGTCTGAATTGAAAGTTGTGGAGAAATGTGGGTTTGGTAAGTTTTTAAGAATGGATTCGTAACACGAATATAGTTCTGATGAAATAATTAGAAACGAAAGATATCGATTGAGATATATATTCACACGATATATTTTCTATGATAGAGTAGAACATAAGCAATATGTTGTGACAAGCAAGTTGGTTTCTCAACCTTTTAGAGAAACACCCTTTTACAAATCATGAAATAGAAATACTATAGTGGCAATCTCTTATCGTTGCTTGTGTACATTCACAAAGCATACCAACTTCGGCCTACATTATTGCCATTTACACGTTATTATGTGAAATGAAATGATGTCGTATTCTCTTTCTCTCTACTTGTATAGCTGAACAAGAGAGGACTACGGATCTTGGAATGGGGAACAAAAGTAGGGGCCAATCTTTATATGAAACTTCACTCGTTGAACTATTCGCATACCATTGCAGCAAAGAAAATATGCCAAGGCAATCGCAACTTTTCCTATTATTAACGATAGGACTTTTGAAAACGAGCCCTTGCTCCTCGTCCTCCAAACTTCTTCGGTTCACATCTTCTCGGATCAGCTACTAGCAAGGTTCTATCATATGAGATCAAAGTATCTTTTAATTCCCTCTTCAACGCTTCATCTACAACTAAACAATGTAGAGAGTGAGTAACGCAAAGACGTGTCATTCAAAACTCACATTTCTGATAATACGCAACTATTCCCTTCGCAATAGCTTGGCGGATGGCATAGATTTGACTGGTACGACCACCGCCCTTGACTTTCAAACGAATATCTAGATCAGCAAACTTATCTTGGCCCAGAATAAGAATCGGTTCGAACACTTTGATGCGGAGAGTTTCTGGCTCCACCAACTCCAAGGGGACACCGTTAACACGGATAAGACCTTTCCCTGAACCAGTAACCGTCGCTACTGCAACAGCAGTTTTCTTTCCGTGTTGTTATTAGTTTGCTTGAAATAAACTAAATAAAGGCATACCTTTCTTCCAAATACTTGAACCATATTCTTTGTCTTTGCCACCATAGTTACTCTCGATGATATCTCTGTTAACCGTCGACGCCCCCTTCAATTGATTTCTTTCTCCCAATGGGAATGAATGAGCATTTTTTTTTCTGATCCTTTCTTTGTAATGGGAATTGGCGCCATTTTGAAAATTGATTGTGTGTGTAGGCTTTGTCGGTAGAATGCCAAGTGACAAGATATCAGAAGAAAACCTCACAACTGAAGAGTCGCAAACATTTGAGTGGAGTGGAAATAAATACAAAGACTTGGAAGCTCTTTTAGATAGGACTTTTGTATACACCAAGTTTGTCAGCGAACGGTTGAAGCAAGGAGTCCTGGACGAAACGTCTGTACATAACGTACCGGATCAGGAAACAGGAGAAGAAAGTTCCAAAGATAAGTATCAACAAAATGGAAAAAGAAAACAAAAATCAAGTGATAAAGTGGATGGTGTAAAAAAACTGCGATCGATAGTTCGAGAGGCAGAACTGGCTGGTAAAGAGGTTAATCGAGTTGAAGTACTAAACCCACAAACAAAGCAGCCTGCTCTTGTAACAGGTGGCATATTAAGAGACTATCAGCTGGCTGGGGTTGAGTGGATCATTTCTCTTTATGAAAACGGTCTCAACGGTATCTTGGCTGACGAAATGGGTTTAGGAAAGACTGTGCAAGCTATCGCTTTTCTCTGCCACTTGAAACAAATGGGAGTTCATGGACCTTTTCTTATAGTTGGGCCTCTTTCTGTTTTGAACAACTGGCAGGAAGAGTTTTCTCGTTTTTGCCCTACCGTCGGGACTTTACTGTACCACGGATCGAAAGAAGAAAGGACGGCTCTTAGAAAGAAGTATTTTCCTTCTAGGTTAGTACTATGCTTCTATTTTACATGAGGTGAACGTATTCTAAGAGTTTGCTAACAAGAAATAGCAACTTTTATGTGCCAGTTATCATAACGTCCTACGAAATGATCATGCGAGACAAAAAATACCTTTCAAAGTTGCAGTGGAAGTATTTAATAGTTGATGAAGGACATCGCATAAAGAATATGAATTGTCAGTTGCTTCGAGAGCTGAAATCTTACTTTTCTTCCAATAGGCTTCTTATAACCGGTACACCGTTACAAAATGATCTTTCTGAGCTATGGTCTTTGTTGAACTTTTTGCTTCCAGAAGTGTTTGACAATCTTGATTCTTTCAAATCCTGGTTCGATTTTGGAGATGACTTGGAAAAGGGAGCGTTAGAGCTAGAATATAGAGATGCAATTGTCTCAAAACTTCATCGGATTCTTCGCCCTTTTATTTTAAGAAGAATGAAGACCGATGTCAGTATTGAACTTCCAAAGAAAACTGAGATTTATCTTTATACTTTTCTAAGTGAACGTCAAAATCAACTTTATCAGGCTATCTGCAATGGGCAACTTTTTAACACTCTCAAGTCATCCGCGAATTCTTTCCAGAAACGATTACAGGGGCTCCAAAATGTCTTGATGCAGCTTCGTAAATGCTGTAATCATCCGTATCTTTTTGAAGAGCCTGATGAAAATTTTGATGTAAGTTGAAGACTACATATTGGCACAACCTTGATTGTCGGAGTTTTAGGAGAAGGGTAAATTTTGGAAAACCACAGAAGATCTGGTGACTTGTGTTGGCAAACTGCAGCTTCTGGACAGGTTGTTGCCAAAACTCAAAAAATATGGGCACCAAATTTTGTTGTATTCACAGATGACTCGTATGTTGGATATCTTAGAGGACTATTTATGTCTTCGAGGTTATGTTTATTGTAGAATAGATGGTTCAACATCTTTTGAAGATCGTCAAGATATGATAAGATCCTTCAACAGTTCTGACTCAGATATTTTCATCTTTCTGTTAAGTACCCGTGCTGGTGGTCTCGGTATCAACTTGGTAGCTGCAGACACTGTTATTTTCTACGACTCAGATTTTAATCCACAAGTTGACTTGCAAGCCATGGATCGCTGTCACAGAATTGGTCAGACGAGAGAAGTACATGTGTATCGTCTTGTTTCTGCCGGAACCATTGAAGAAATTCTATTGCTCAAGGCCAATAATAAACGCAAACTTGAAAAGTTGGTTGTTGCAAGCGGTAAATTTCGAGATTTAAATCTTTTAGAGGAGCTTAGCAGTTGGAGTGGTGAAAATGATCCATCTAGTTGGCTCAGGAGACAAAACCTCGATGGCTCTAAAACCGTAAAACATCTTGAAGAGATTCTCTCAGCTCAACCAGCTGATAGAGAACTCGGAAAATGTACTACTATTTCAGATGATGACTTGGAACAACTTGTAGGACAGCGATCATGTGAGAAGACCGTTGGAAATGGATTTCAAATATTCCGTAGTGATTCAACACTTTAGTTGCTGCTCTATAATTTATAGATGCTGCTCTGATACACAAAAATGGCAAAGTTCCTGAATGTGCTTTTCATCTTTTCAAAGAATAAATGATTATACTAATGGTCACTGACACTAGTGGATAATTCCGATCTGGTTTGGGACCTCAATCTTCTTAACTCTATTTGTTCAGAACTTGGGACTCTGAATGAATCTATCAATCCCAAACTGGACATTATTCTGATAAAGTAATAACAGAGATCTATCTCCCACCATTCAAAACCTTGTTTGGATGATCCCATAAAACTATGATGGTTGTTATGCCAGCCTTCGCCTAGCGTAAGAATGGCCAATAGAATATTATTCTTCGCATTACAAGATTCATGATATTCACATAAGAAATTCTGATATCCATACAAATGACAAAGGGAATTCACAGTAAATGTTGCATGCCACAAAATAACAGTGCTAAGACAAAAAATCCAAATAAAGCCTCCAAAACCGCCCATAACATAAGAAACTATGGCAAGTATAATACCTGGCAAATAATGGTGTTCTTCCAACCATAATAACTCTTTATAAACGGCAAGATCTGGAATGAGGTGCCACTGAATGGCCACGTGTCTGTCTGAAAACAGAAACCAGCCCATGTGTGACCACCAAAACCCACCAAAATAGGGAGAATGCACATCCTGTTCAGTATCAGCGTAACGATGATGGTGTCGATGCCAAGAAGCCCACCATAGCACACCTTTTTGACACGCGGAACAACCTAAACAAGCCAAGGCAAACTGAAATATCCTACTGGTTCGAAAAGCGCGATGACTAAAGTAACGGTGATAACCAGCGGTAATCGCCAACATACGAACGCAATAGGAAGCAAGTGCCAAATGCAAAAAACTCCACTGAAAGCGTACAAAGAATACAGCCAAAGCTAAGATATGGACGCCGAAAAAGAAAACAAAGCTTCTCGAACACAGAAGCTCCTTCAACGTTAAATATTTATCGTCATCCGTGTGGTTGAGTTTTTCTACGATGTTTGGATACTCTCCATCCAAACCAGTTCTCGCCATAGGATTGTCAACCACTTAATGTGAGCCGAGCTAAGAGCTGAGCCACACTTTCAAATGGAGTTGGTGAATCTTTTGCCCTCCTCCTCACTGTCTTGCAAAGATTTTCGCAATCCACGCGTTGTTATGTGAAACAGCAGGACAGAAGTGCTAGAATAGGAAAACAGTGACTCTATTCTTATAGACTATTTTTTGGGAATGAATGGGGAGACTTGAAACTTGCAACGGGATACCCCCCTTACTAGTCTTTTGTTGTCCCAGGGTATCAAAACTGTTTGTTGTCAACTGGTAGTGGCCACTTATCTTGTCCAGCCTTTGTAACAAGACGCGCAACACAGTTTGAAGAAACAACTTTTGAGAAACCACCCTGTATCTCTCCGAACCGCTGCAACAATTTTTGTGTGATACTTCGCAAATACAAGACCGTTTAGATTTTCTCTCGGTGGTGTTGACTTTTTAAAACCACTCCTTAGAGCACAAAACTGAAGATGCTTTGTTAGAAACGGATCATGTCCTGATATTTTTTCAAGTTTATTACGTTGAGGGAGATTGAAAGTTCTAGAAGGGTACAGACTTAAGGAACCCTTGACTAGATAGAGCTATACTGAACCCTCTGTCTCTGAAGGTGAAGTGACGTATGTTTTTTACCGCCTTTCTACACTTGGAAGCTGAAAACATAAAAAACGTAATCCTCCAGGTCTTTCCGAACTAAAGAGGACCAACCGTTTCATCTCACAGAAATCCAAATAGTCGAGTTTTTTCGTGGCCTACAGAACACAACCTACAAGTTATCAGCAAGTCGCTATTCCAGGACTGTGCTTCCACAAATAGAAGACCACACAAGTTTTATTCTTATATTCGCAGTTCTGCAACAAGGTACTTCCAAACCCAAAAACTGTAAAAAATAACAAAACGCTTCAGCTCTGAATGTATACGAAATACCTGTCGATATGGTGAATGAATGCGATAAACCTTGCAAGTAATATCGGTAGCCAAAGGTTGTAAGACAATGGCGTGAAAGGTAATCCACAAGTGTAGTGAATTTGGATACGTGTAAGGCTGTTCAAGTTTGGTCAACCAACCGTCACAGTCTTATGGAATTTCAATGAGACCGCTTTTAAGTCCCCCACGTGGAGCATACAGAGCAAAGGGGTTTGTTTTTCTTCAAAATGGCAATCGCAGAACCTTCAACCATTTCTTTATAAAGGCTGTTCGTCTACAACACTCATGCAATTATTGTTTTTTATTAAACATTGATTATCATGTTGAGGTCAATAGTGATCTTCATGCTTGTAAGCTCCGTTCTCTTAGCTAGTGGTGCTCCACTTGAGTCTGGTTTTTTCCAACAAGAAAACAGTCGTGGCAATTATTATTCCTCTGGAGCACATCAAAAAGCAGAGTCTTCGTATTCTACTGCTCCCTATAGTTATTACTATTCTGCTCCATCGGTACAAGAAGAAAGCTCCAGTTCGTATTACTATAGCTTCCCTTCGCAGACATCATCTTCATCTGTTTACTATTCTACCCAGTCTCAACAACAAACACCCGTCTATACTGTGCCCAGCCAGTCGTCAACAACTTCGTATTATTACAGTTCTGGTGGCTCTCAACAACAACAAAGCAGCAGCTATTATTCCTCTCCCACTCAACAAGAAACATATTACTACTACTCTCCATCGGAGACATCATCATCTTCATATTATTATAGTTCAAGTCAGTCTGGTCAAGGAGAACAAAGCAGTTATTCTAGCCCATCAACAAGTTCGTCATATTCTACCTATTATGGATAGGAGATAGGGTTACTTTTTGTTCAAAGAAACAATTTGTGAGCATAAAACTTCATGGTGTAATCTCTTCAGTTGTTTCCCATCAGCATTTTTCTTCCCATGTTGATCGATCGATCATTGGCACCGATGAGCCAAATAGAAAAATGATTTCATCCATTCCCTTTTATTGGATATAGAGAAAAATGCCAATCCATGAAAAGCCAAAAGAACAACGAGACATCAAATTCAATGTAAATACGTTTCTTTTAGCAAAGTGTCGACTGTTGATCCACTCCCCTTGTGCATAAGTTTTCTTAACTGGTTTTAAATGTCTAAAGTCACAACCACTTTGCTCATCAGCTTTTTTTGCTTTATAGTCACGGTATACGGAGCTCCTTTACTATCCTCCGAACAAGGTTTGATTTTTTTTCATTGTTGGTGACTCAATAACGAATTTTTCCATCAGGCATAGAACGAACTGCAGATACACCGGCAAACTATGGAAATAGCTATGATTCAGGAAACGGATATACTCTTACTTATATGCTACAACCACATATTCCATTTATTCCCATAGGCAGTCCATCTGTTGCTAGTTCTATTTCTTACGCTGCAAATCAATATGCTCAGGCACTGTCTAATGCCAACGCCATTTCATTTCTTGGAGGAAATGCAACTGCTCACACCAATGCAACTGTTCAAGGCCAACTTGCATTTTCCAACGCTACTGCAACTGCTTCTGGCCTTGGATTGGTAGAAACCGATGCTGCAACAAGTTCTGGTAGCAGTTACAGTGGAAATATTGAGATTGCATTTACTGTAGGAGGTACAGTAACCGCTCACAGCGATTCTTTCTCAGCACCTGGTTTCGGAACTGTAACTATTTCAGGCTTTGGTGGAGCTGGTCCATTTGGTATGGCCTTATTTGGCAGCTATCCTTCCTCAGGTTCTTCACGATTTCTTTTGCATAATGCAAGAAAAGCAGGAGATATCTTTTAATCAGGATCGCGATGTCGACAACTAAAGAGATACATCAAGAGTTTTCAGATGCTCGCAGCGACAAAGAACGCTGCATACATAAGATGGAGAATTGTTGTTGTTATGGTTGCTTGAAATAAAGCATGTTGGCTCCCTGACAAAAATACAAATTTGCCATTTCGCTTCGATTTATTGTTCATTCAATACTACATCTCTAAAAGTGCTGATAAGCGTATAACCTTTCAATTACTGAAAATTGTCATTTAGACACTACTGACCCTATAATCATTGGCGTGATCAAGTATCGTTTGCTTTATGTCGAGAGGGAGGATTCTTTGTTGCTTGTAGTTTCCAATAAGTTGCTTCCATCTGAACGACAAGTTGAATCAACTAAAACTTCTCGCTGGTTGATTGAATAAGAGTGCGAATGAGACAAACTTTCTCGAAGGCTTCTTAAATTCTTTTGAGTTGCTGCCAAAAGTCTCTCCTTGGAATTAAGCACATCACGGAGATCTCGGACATTGCCCTCAAGTTCTTTGATGCGATATTCCTTCTCTAAAAATAAAGTTAGTGGCTTTGGAGTCGTTTGTGTGAAATATTTATTCACCTTCTACACGCCTCATAAGCTCTTTCTTGTATTCTCCTTCGGCAGAACATTTCTCTTCCAGATATGCTATCAAATTTAATTTATCCGGTATCTTCAAAAAGAAACATCACATGGCACCTAATTTTACGAATTTATAACGTACCTGCTCCATCACTGACTTTTTGGAGTTTTCTAACGATTGAATGGTCTTTTTTGCCTCCCTCAAATTCTCCAAGCAATTAGCATGATCTAGAGACAGTCGTTGGTACGACTTTTCCAATTTTTCGAGCCTGTCTTCAAGCTGTTGAATACAAATGTCTCTTTCATTTAACTTCCTACAAAGAATATCACGATCCTGCATTAAATACTTTGTGGAATTTTGCGAGTCTTGTGTAACAGTTTGTTCTTCCGAGTCTTTGCCTATGATTTCATCCCTTTTTGAAATTCCGTTCAGACTACTCGTGCTGGCAACGTTAGGATGCACAGTTTCTTTGCTGTAATAAGGATATGTCATAATATCGATGCATATAACAATATCTTTAAATTTCGCGTTGCGAAAGCCATTCTGCCAAGTTTCCCATCTTTCCCAAAGCTCAAAACGGGGGTTTACGAAGCCAAGCTCTCCTCGTTTATTTACTTGTAGGAGACAACCGTCGGCTACAGCAGACCGGAACCCAATATACTTTTCAGACCTGACGATAACAAACTGGGTCTGTGGGAAGGAGGAGTAACAAGTATCCACATATTGCAAACGCCACTTGCTTTGTGTCCACTTTGCAGCTAAAAGCTTAGAGTTGTCTTTACAAGATAAATTCACAATAGTTCCATGCGGGGGAAGCGCAGGCGTTGAACTACTTGTTTCGATAATGGCTTGTCCATATTGGGAAACGTTGCCCTTGGTATTGTATGTTGAAAAGGAAACGTCGTCTTTCTTCCTTTTGTAACTATTTAGAATAAATGATTCACTAGTTACAGTCTCTGAAAACGCGAAAGTTTTTGAGCTTCTGGTCGCTCCCTTGTTAGCTCTGGTATCTGCGGTTCTCGAAGAATAAGTCTCATTCATCGTCCTATTTCAACAACGCCCGCGCTCCGATTCAAATCCAAAATGTTGAAAGCCGAGATTGTTTGTCCTCGAGATTCTGCTTATTTACCAACAGAATTGACAATCTTTATATATTCATATTATTTGGAAAAGCCAAAACAAACATGAAAGAGGTTAGACTTTGCAATTGGAGGTTTTCTCTGATTTGTAAACTTTTCTGTAATAACCAGTATACTCTGACCATCTAGATATAATGCATTATGGAGTCTTCAAAACACTTCAGTGAGTTTATTCCCTCATAAAAATAACATATAAACAAAAAAATTGTACTAATGTCCTGTAGAACTGGAAAACACAAGTCGTCATGAAAGAGATGCTTTTGTTCACAACATTGTAGAAAATGACTCGTCAAAATTCAACGTTCATACAACGAAATATGAGGAATCCAAGACATTCATTTTTTAAGGAAAACGAAAAATTATTCTCAATCCATCCAACCGACCATTTCTGTGGATTCCATTTGCAGAACTTCACAGTAATATTTGTGAATCCACAAGAAGAGAAAAGTCTACTTAATGTTCGCTCCGAGTGAATAAAACGTCTCCGACGTCCAACCCCAACCTTCAGTTCTTCGTCCAGGTCTTCCTCAGTACCAAGAGTGCAACCAATCAGTTTCCCTCCAGTGTTTAATAGTCTGAATACATTTTGAATCAAAAGCGCTCCGCTATCCGCTACTGTATGCAGAACTAACTGCAGGATAATAAGGTCGAATTTTCCTCCTGTCTTCTCGGAAACCGTATTCACAAAATCTTTGCTGGTCGCATCAGCTTCTATAAAATGACCTTTCAATCTCTCCGCGTCCCCAAATAGTTCAAATCCTAAACTGATTAAAGAGTCTGACAAATCAATTCCAAACACATTGTTTATATCTGCTCCATCGAGAATCAACCCTCGAATATCAACTCCAAAACAGCAACCAATATCGAGTATCCTCAGCTCTGAAAGTTTTCCTTCCTGAAAAACTTCTCCATAAAAAGGGTTGTGCTTCAATCCAAACTTCAAAAAATGAAGCCCGTCTATACAACTGAAGTGGTTTAGAAATAGTGAAATTTCTCTAAAACCTCAATACCAATAGAAATCTGTCGACAACGACTTTTCTCTTATTTCACGAGCTTTTTGGATAATATCCTCTTTCGTAAAGTTTGGGAACAGCTGTAAAACTTCATAGTCTATCTCTGGTAGTCCTTTCCAGTCTTCAGTTGTCATGGCTTATTCTACTTTGTCCAAAATCCACTTAAAAATTAGGCGGGTCGTTGGAAATCCTTCGAAGAAGTTGAGAGGCAAACATTCATTCCTATAAAGGAATAGTTTCATTTTGGACTTGTTTCAACAAAACTTGGATGGAACCGTCTTTTCAGACGCGTTGAAGATGTATTTCATCGTACATTATCATTTGAAGGATACGAAAGCAAAAATCATAAGCAGATGACAATGCATTACATATTTAAAATAATAAAGCAACAAAAAACTTGGTGTCAAAATGATAGCATTGAGTTGCTTTGTTGACAATATCTTTGGTCTCAGTTTAAATTCACCGTGACATGAAAGGTTCATATAAGGCCATCGAAAACTCAAGAAATACTAAAAAGTACATCTATTGATATAAAATACATCTGGGATGGCCAACCACAGAATCCAGCTACACTTATTATCCTTGTTAAGTATCGTTACGACAAGATAAATGGACTACAAACTGTAAAGGAACCATCTATTTATCTAATTTGAACTAAGCCTAAATTCGATGAAATACTGCGTCAACGCTGCATAATCAGCACTTTGAGAAACTATGAAACGAACTGAGAACACGCGCAACACATTCTTTTGTAGATAAACTATCTAGCTTCTATGCACTCCTCACTGAACAACTCTCAATAGCTTACTGGATGTCGCTCTGTTCAACTCGATGTTCAATCTTCCCCATCACAAATCCACTAAACCGAGACAAGGAGGTTTTCTAGTGCGTTTTTTATTTAACAAATATTGCGATAGTTTACTTTCAATAATTTGGACGCTGAATTTTATCCTATTTCATACGTATCTGAGAAAGGAAATTTTCTTGGCAACAGAAGTGCAACAACACTAAGACAATTCTTCCAAAGAATCTGAGAGTGCCTTTATGTAGAGGTCATACCAAGGCCTTCGTTAATACTCTTCTTTCATTAAACTATTTGATATATTAACAAACAACCCAAACATCAACCCGTCTATGAATAATAAGAAGACATGATGAGGTTACGCACCCCCATCTTCGATTATGCCCCTCCCTATCCAGTATTTTGTGTTTCTGAGCCATGCTAATAAGCAGCAATAATAATAACAGTATTCTAGTGATTTCATTACCCTCCCTCCTTGAAAATTGCATTCTTGTTAGAGAATATAAACTAATGAACAGTGGAGAGAATATATGATATAGCTTCCAAGTCCATCATTCTGCTCGAAGCATTTGGTGATTGGTTGGGCGGCGATCAGAAGTGCCACTACAAAGGATTCTTTTGGGAAACAAAAATCCAATGCATTTGAGATTTTGGAGGCCGCAGCATTTGTCTATTGTTGTCTTGTGTTTGGTTGCACACGTGACACATTTCCTTTTCTGCAAGCGTTTCCAAAACTCTGGGAAACTTTTGTCACCCACAAAGTACACTTGTACGGGATTGATTGATACGAAACATTGGAAAGCCTTCCAAGAACGTGTCTAGGTTTTCAGACTTTGCAGGTTGCCGTGGAAAGTGGTTTAGAGAGTATGTCGAGTTGCGTGCGCAGTAAAATTGAGTGGCAATCCAGCGTCAATCCTGCGGGAAACCGTTTGGAATACATTGATGGGCATTTGAGCTTTTTGGGAAGTCCAGTTGAAGGGATGCCTTCTCAAACTTTGCTTGAGCGCTCAGGAAGCTCGAACAAGCTAAAAGTCATCGAGGAATTGAGTACCCAAATTAGAGGCTTACAAACAGAGTTGGAAAAGGCATATGAAGAAATTGAACGATTGAAAAGGTTTAGGAAGAGTCCAGAAGGCGTGGAACAGGTGAAGGGTGTGACCTCGGAAGAATTTTTATCGCAAGGTGTAGGATATCGCAGTGTTTCGGATTACTATTTAGCGCAGAGTAGAAAAAACATACTGACTAGAAAGAGAAGTTTTCCAAATATGTCTTATAGTAACTCAGAGGGTAACTTGCAAAAGTTGCAACAATCCGAAAGCTTGAAGCAACCCTCTTATCAGTCTTTGTCTAGAAATGGTTCCGTTGACTTTTTGGAGAAAAACAATCATTCGTTGAGTAACGCCATGAAGAAAAGCCAAGCGCATATGACGTCGGCAAATGACAAATCCATTAAGAAATCGGGTCGCGTTAAGGATTCTTTTGCAGCTTGCTACACAGCTGACTTGAAGAACAGCGTCGCTTCCGTTTCAGAGGTATCTGATCCTCTGCAAGTAAGTGAACCAGGAATAGCAAAGTCAGATTTCAGTCACAGTTGTTTTCGCGCACCTATTGCTTCAGCTTTGCAGGTGAATGGTCAATCAAGTAATGAGAAAGAATGGATATGGAATGGAAGCGCATTTTCCGAATCGACCAGTTTGGATGAAATAGTTGATAGTCCTTTTGGGGAGATGCGTAGAGATTCTTTTACCTACTCCGATTTAAGTGGAGCGGAGTGTTTTTCGGACGATGTCGACTCACTCTCTCTTGGTTCGATCTTGGATGATGTAACGATTAATACAGACGAGCCGATTTGGTCATTCGGTCATCTGTATTCTGATTTGCAACTCTAGTTATATTTCGATAAATGAAAAGTGATTGAATAAATGAAATAAAGAATGCCTTTTTGAAAAGTAAGAATTCACCATATCACCAAAGTTGTTTATCATGGGCGACCTTTGAAGTTTTCTAAATGGACGACACAACAAAAACCAGCCACTCCACTTCAGACTTGTTCCTTACTCCGTATTTCCTCTTATTAGTGGAAGAGATTTCTCATATTCTTCCATAGGTTTCATAGTACAAGTAATAAAGTTGCGAGCTACATCAATCTTCTTAATACGAACCACAATTTCTTCTCCAGCCTTCGTAATAATGAGAGATATAGTTAAAGTCCTATCAAGCACAATAATACTCACTTGCACTTCCTGCGTTAAGTCAGGACGAAAAATGAGACCATCTTTTGGGCCTCCGACGTCGACAAAGACACCAAAGTCAGTGATATTAAGAACGTTCGCTTTAAAAAACTTTGTTGAATCAACTGTCTCTGCAAACTGTAATAAAGCCTTGGACAAATTTGGACCCTCTAAACGCTTTCAACAAAATAAATATTCAAAGTATACTATAATAGAAAACACACACCCTTTTGTCTTCTTTGAGTTCTTCTTTGGATCTTCTGCCCCGAGTGACTCCCGTTCTTGGTTTTCTTTCAATGGAACTTCGCATAGTAACTGAAAATAATCCCCTTTCAAGATCAACTCTCAACACACGGACTTTTATGCAGTCCCCTTCTTTGACAAGTTCCGACGGATCCCTTACGAACGAATCGCTCATATGTGAAACGTGCAGTAATCCTTCAAACACTGTAATAGAATCAAAGAGCTTGAAAAATTTCAACAATACTTACCGTATTTTATCGCACCTATATCTACGAAGGCACCGTACTCTGTTACTTTCGCTATGATTGCATCATATTCTCTGTTCAGTTGAAGCTGTTCTAAACTGAGTTTGCCTTGTTTTTCAGTAGTTGAAATGACGTCATTCTCTGTAGAGTCGGTAGAGAATGGAGCTGAAGATGAGCCAATACTACTTTCCTGAGCTAATACTGAAAGACTAAAGAGAAAGCGACAGGAGTCAAAACTGAGTACTCCTCTCCGAGTATTTCTCCTCAGTTCTCTGTTCAACCGCAAACGAGGGTAGGCAATCAACGATACTGTCTATCAAGAAACAACACAAAAACTTTTTAGAAAACGTTCAAGAAGTGAATTATCAACAACAACTCATCAAGTCACAAAGAATTATAAGCCTCTCTGCAAAGTTGTCTACTGTTCTTGAACAGATAACACAACTCACCTTTCTTCTTTGGGAACAGGTAGCAAACTTACAGGTGCTGGATAGCGTATAAGTAAACAAACTGGTGAAAGCCATAAAGACGGATAGAAAGTGTACAACTGAACACGACGTGCTATTTTGCTTTGCAACGATTCTCAAATGATTGAATTGGGATGTATAGGGAATGGTCGGTCCACCGGTTTTCTCTTGGGCGAGTCTTTAATTGTGTATTCTGTTTCTCAAGGCAATAGCAAATATTTTCGTGGAATTTCTTTCTATTGTTCCAGCAGATCTTTACATGACATGTCGAATGTGACATTTACGAACACTATAACCCCAATGACTTGAGCAAAAAATTGTAGATGCTAACAAGGCAATTGGTAAGCTTAATGAAGGCAAACTGCCAAATTGCTATAAAAGCCATTTATAATCGTTTCATATTTATTATGGAATAAATGGCAGGTCTATAAATACACTTTAGCCATTTCCAAGGCAAAATTTTTGGGTTTGAATACTATACGAAGTTATAAACCCTACTCATCGGAAATCTCCTTCATCAACCCCACCATCTGTGGAGAAAATTTCCCATCGATCCTTTTAATCAACCCTTCATCCTTTCTTCCTTCATTTCAAGCCGCAAATTCTTTTCTTGTTCAGATCTCCGCGTTGATTGCGAAACTTTAAAGAAATGGAAGTATATGCTTTTCAAAGTCTTTCACTGGTAACAACAGTATCTAAAATGAAAACGTTTCTTGATGTTATTGTCTAATAAATAGGTTTTCTATAAGGATTCGTCTTGCGTATACTCTAGTCAGGTCAGAAAAGGTTGTCTATTTAGACCATCTGTAAGAATATATATCTACGTGTTATATTACGCCGCAGCTAAAACAACATATTACCCCTCTCCTATAGGTAAACTACCTTTCAAGAAACCTTCCAAGATGGACTCATAGAAGAGATTCGAGATATTTCAGCGAACGAAAGAATACTCTCTCTTCAAGTATGACTTACACCACTGAGAAGCTCGACCACTGGTTATTAGAGCAGAATGTCGATAAAAAGTTGACTCGTTGTGTATCAGCTGTATTTGACGCTTGTAAGGAAATAGCATATAAAATAAGAACAGCTTCTTGTAACAAAATTGCCTGCTTCAACGACTTTGGAGACGAACAGTTAGCAATTGACGTACTTGCAGATAAAGTAATCTTTGAGAATCTTGACAGTAGCGGAGTAGTTGGTGTTGCTTCTTCTGAAGAGGTCCCACGTGAACAAAAGTTGAAAGGAAGTGGTTTTGCTGTTGCATTTGACCCGTTAGATGGCTCATCTATTATAGACACCAATTTTGCTGTTGGTTCAATATTTGGAATATGGCCTGGTGACAAATTAGTTGGAACAAAAGGTATATCAAATTATACTTTTCCAGGCAACCTTTTGAATAATGCCAAGGTCGTGATATGGCTGCTGCGGCACTAGTTGTATATGGACCCCGTACAACAATAAGTCTTGCACTCAAAGATATAGATCATGTCCATGAGTTTACGTTAGTAGATGACTTCTCTGCACGTCATGGTCAATGGGTACACACAAATGAGTTTCATTCTGTTGAAGAAGGGAAACTATTTGCTCCAGGAAATTTGCGAGCTATTCAAGTAAGAGTTGAATCACATTTCCCAGAAATGTTACCCTGATAGAGACGCTAGGATAATCCTGGATACAGCAGGTTACTACAGTTCTGGTTAAATGAAAAGTATCAGTTAAGATATACGGGTGGAATGGTACCTGATGTCAATCAGATATTAGTTAAGGGAAGAGGTGTATTTTGTAATCCAGCTTCTGCTTCTGCAAAAGCAAAGCTAAGACTACTTTATGAATTGGCTCCTACAGCATTTGTTGTTGAGAAAGCTGGAGGTAAATCTTCCGATGGAAAACAGTCTGTTTTAGATATTGTCATTCAATCCACTGACCAGAGGTCTCAAGTGTGTTATGGCTCTGCTGGTGAAGTAGAGAGGTTTGAAGAATATGTTGGGCTTAAAACCTTGTCAGGACTTTCTGCTTAAGAGCAAAATAGCAATATTTCAAAATAGATAGTCAATCTAATGGCTGCCTTATGCTAGAACGGAATGGCTTTCTCTACCACTGGAATAAAGTCGTTTTCTGTTATTCAAATATTCGTAACGTCTTCCTATTTGATTCCTTGTCGAATGTGATTTACTGCAGATTTGAGGTCCTCCGGAAAAGGAGCACGGAATTCTTTCCACTCTCCTGTGATAGGATGAGGAAATGCCAATTTCCACGAATGCAATAAAGGCCTCTTTGCAAAATATTCATACTTTTCATTAATATGTGACAATCCATAAAGCTCATCGCCCACTATATAAGAAGCACAATGGCGTAGATGCACTCGAATTTGATGCGTCCTTCCAGTCAATAGTTTCAAGCAAACCACACACAGTTGTTCCTCGTTGTACACAACTCCTTCAATAACTGTTATTGCTTCTTTCCCTCCTTTTTCTAGTGGAACAACTTCCATCCTCAAACGATTGGAATGGCTGCGGCCAATAGGCATGTCCATAATATTATTCCCGGATAATACGTGTAGTCTGGTCATTGGGTTTCCATAGCAAACTGCAATATAAGACTTTTTGGTGTTCCTAGATTTGAATGCTTGCATAAGGTTTCTCTGTGCTATATCAGTCTTTGCGGTCACGAGAACCCCTGAGGTTCCTTTGTCCAATCTATGTACTATCCAAGGTCGAATATTTTCATGACAATCATCTAGTGAGTGTACTCCCAGGTGATAAGCAAGGGCATTCACTAAGGTGTTATTCCAATTTCCAGGAGCTGGATGCACTACCATATCTGACGCCTTATTGATCACTACAATATGGTTATCTTCGTACAATATATTCAAAGGTATATTCTGCGCTTCAAAGCGAAACTCTGGAGAGACTAGAAACGTCACCTCAATCTCGTCTCCAAGTCTTGTTCGAAAGCTCTTTGTGACGGCGTTCGACCCATTTAGCCTTACTAACCTCTTTTCAATGAGCTTCTCAAAATAAGTTCTTGACTGTTCAGGAAACCGTAAGGCTAGAAGCTTATCTATCCTTTGTCCAACTTCATCTGGCGAAACACGAAAGCTACTCACTTGGTCGATCTGTTCTGAAGCATCGCTATCTTCCTCGGGCTTGTCAACTAGAAACTCTTTCCAAGAAGCCGAGGAAACAAATGGTCGCATATATAGTATTTGTTTCGTTCGACGAATGCGAACATTAGTGAATATATTCTTACAAAAGGCGCCAAGTCGAAAGCTTGTTGTTACTAGTGGTGCTACAAATAGAGTCCGCATGAATAACGTATGGAGAGAATTGTAATTCCAATTCGGTCTTTCCAATATTGCTCACAATACATATGACAACTAGTATGGACGATGCTCCTAACCTTGCAAGTCATGAAGAGGCTGCAATATCTAACACTGGAAGGAAGTGTCCTCACTGTGGTAGCACCGAATTAGAGCACGACGCTGCACAGGGAAATACTGTTTGCACCCAATGTGGTTGTATAGTGGAAGAGAATACTATAGTCTCTGAGGTTACGTTTGTGGAGGGTCCTGGAGGTCACAGTTCTGTCGTAGGACAGTTTGTGGACTCTTCAGGTAGTTTGAAAAAAGATTTTAGGCAATCTTTACTAACGTAGAACACAAGGTTATGTGCCGTCTTCTGGTGTTATAATACCTGGACTTTCGAAGGAGTCTAGAGAGGCTACGAGAAATAACGGTAAGACAGAGTAGGGTTGTCAAAAATAACAGCTAACTTTTAAATGGAGGACGTAAAATTATCGCAGAAGTTGTTGGCGCATTACACTTAAACCCTTCGCAAGAGGAACAAGCGTTTCGAATGTTCCTTCTCGCAATTGAACATAATTTTTTGCAAGGAAGAAAGGCATCTAACGTCTGTGCTTCTTGCCTTTACATTGTTTGCAGACGAGAGAAAACACCTCATCTTTTAATTGACTTTAGTGATTATTTGCAGACGAATGTTTATGACCTTGGAAGAACCTTTTTGAAGTTTGCGCGAATTTTAAATCTCAGCCTGCCAATTATAGACCCCTCACTTTATATCCATCGTTTTGCTTCTAAACTAGGCTTTGAAGAAAAGACTCATGCTGTGGCAACATCAGCACTTCGACTGATTGCGCGAATGAAGCGGGATTGGATTCATACAGGACGGAGACCTTCTGGTCTTTGTGGTGCTGCCTTATTTGTGGCTGCAAAAATGCATGGTTTCTATCGATCTCAGAGGGAAATTGTAAATGTCGTGCGAATTGGAGACGTAACTTTAAGAAAACGTTTATTAGAGCTAGAGGAGACTCCCTCAGCTCTACTAACAGCTGATGAAATTGATGCAATGGGAGGTGATGATGGGAACGTCGAAGCACTTAGTGATATAAACAAGTTTAAGGAATCAGACCCTCCATCTTTTAAAAGGAGGAGGAATCTTGAATATTATGGAGAGGAGGATGTGATTGAAAGAGAAATGAACGAAGCACTTAATAGTGAGGAAGTTAAAATGATTGAGAGAGGGGAGCAGTCAGCTGAATCAATGACACATCCGATATTTGCTGCTGATTTTTCTTCGGAGACTTTTTCAAGAGTAACGGACGAAATGACGTCAGGATATTTGGATGATAGCGTTGCTTTGAACGGCTCAGAAGTTACAAACTCTAATGGTCATCAGTCATCGAAAGATGAAGAATCTTTAGAAACGGATGAAGATGATGATGACTTGGACTTGTTCGACATTGATGAAGAGGAATTGAACTCGTATTTGAATAACGAAGAAGAAGAGCAGCAAAAGAGAGAGTTATGGACACGTTTGAATCAAGATTATTTAGAACGTCAAGCGGAGTTGGCACAAGATGAGACAGAAGATTCATCTTTTGTAGAAAAGAAAAAGAGAAAAACTCGTCGATCTTCTAATAGAGCCTCTCATGGTACGGATAGCACGGTAGATGCAGTTCTTGATGCCTTGTCAGAGAAAAAAGTGTCGAAGAAGGTTAACTATGCCGCTTTACAAGAACTTTTCCGCTTCAATAAGGATAACGTATCGAACCTAAGTCATGAAGAACACAATAATGGAACTACGGAACAGTAATGATACTCAAAGCCATATTTGCATCCCAAGTTTGACTAACAAACCATCAACTTGACTTGTTTTTAAAGCATTCATGTATCTTCATATTGCAAGCCCTATCTATATTGCCTTGTTTGGATTGAGAAATGGAATTTTCCATTGCTAGATTTGTTGGACACTTGTTTTCCATGTAAATGAATGGCACGTCAAGAAATCGAATCCGTTAGCAATTCTCATTACTACTTTTATAGGAAAGATAGTTTGAATAGAGACATTCAAACAGCGATATAGACCTCACACATTTTATTCGATGTAGATTTCTCATCAAAACAAGGAAAGCAAACTGTCAATAGAAATTATCTTTGAAAATATATTCGTTTGAAGTTCTATCGCTGTTTCTGCAATGCATCTTTCATAATTAGAAACAGGAATACACACTGATTTGGGCAATTTCGCCAAATTTGGTTTGACTATGGAACAAGTCATTGCTCAAGTCATTAAGAGACAGCAGACTGAAGAACGCCCACCTGACGTACTTTCTCAGCAGACGACAAAATATGAAAAGCGCAACTCCGCTTCACTTCGTAAAAGGAAAAATTCTTCGAAATTGTATTTAAAGACAGATCAGAATTGGATGGCACTCCGTGAGAAACTTGCTTCCAACTCAATTCACGACAAGGGAAAATATCGACAGAAACGAGAAAGTAACGTGACTTGTTTTAAAAGTGGAGTTGAGAGTGGAATACAAAATTCATCGGTCCGGTCCCGAGAAACACAAGTGACTTTTTGTGATGGAACCGTTCCATCCCAAGGGCTAGAGCTTGCAAATAGCAAGAGCACAGCTGAGATCTCTTCTAGGAACGAGATTCCACGACTTACAAAAGTAGTGGCGTTAGACTGTGAGTTTGTCGGAGTGGGAAAACTAGGAAAGGAACATTCACTTGCTCGAGTTTCAATCGTGAACTTTAAGGGAGAAGTACTGTATGATAAATATGTTTTGAACGACAAGGAACCAGTTGTTGACTATCGCACCTCTGTTAGTGGAATTCGGCCTGAACATTTGAGGAGTTCAGATGCAGTATCTTTTGAACAAGCACAGCGGGATGTTTATTCGATTATTAGGAATCGTATTTTGGTTGGTCACGCAATTCACCACGATATGCACGCACTTTTACTTTCACATCCACGTAAGCTGATAAGGGATACTTCCAAGTGGCGAGGATTGCGAAGCCATCATCTATCAAGAAAAACACCCTCTTTGCGGAAATTGGCTCAAGAAATTCTAGGAATAAGGATTCAGGATGGAGAACATGATTCAGTAGAAGATGCCAGAGCGACTCTGATGATTTACAAAAGATTTGCAAAAGAATGGGAAATGGAACTGCAGACGAAGAAAGTCAAGCTTGCCAGAAAGAAGCATCGATGACACTTTGCTTTCGTGAGAAGTGGTAAAGGTTGTTCTATGGTATATAAGTTAGTATTCACAATCAACATGATAGGAAGTTTTAAATTTGTTTCTGAAAAACATTGTTTATGTGTGAGTTTATAGTTGTTGATACAGAATTGGATAGCAAGGCAATGGTTTTTCAGCTTATTCGTTTCAGATTGACTGAAACATCGTTTTAGCCAACTAGTAATAATAAACCTGTTGTTATTTACGTACGGACTCATGTTGAAATATTTAATGCAGTTTTGTAGAAACCTCATTCTTGACACGGTTATAGAGAAATTGTTTTCATCCCGAAGAGCGGAATATAAGACATACAAATTTCACCAGTCAATTGTAACTTTTCTCATTTTACGATTCAAGTTTTACATTCCATTGCAGCACGAATCAGTTTTTCTTTTTGATATCCAACTACTTTGTAACTAAAGAGGGACCATTAAATCATCTATTTGGAGATCAGAGGAGCTTGATCACCTTTATCCAACAACAAGCTGGGAAAACGGAACTTCAAAGCCCACTGTTGTGTGAGATTTTCAAACAGTAATAACGTCCGTGAAAGTTCAGAACTTTCAGTTTGTTTAAAGGAAAGCATAGATTTCCAATAATTTGCACAATATATCCTAGAAATGTTAGAGTATATCTTTATATTTAATAAGAAGTAATTTGCATCTAAACACTAGTTAAACTCCGACTTTCCGACAATATGTTGATCTTAAGGAATCTTGTCAAGTAGCTTCCAACAAGTCTAGAGAACGACTATCTTAAAAAATAGAGAACAGTTTTCGGAAGCAAAAAAAGGTCACTGCATTGGCAAGCTTAAAAGAAAGCTCTAACAAGAAACGTCGGATTCACTTGTGACACATCTCTGAAGTTTTCGCCAGTCTGAGTCGTAGCTCCTCCAAACCTTTGATAAGATGCAGTCTCTGATAACGCATTTTTTCATATTCTCTTCTAAGCTTCTCATTTTCTTCCTCTAGTAGTTGCAAACGTCGTTCAAAGTCTGCTTCGTGACTCTGCACAGCTTCTCTTGCCTCGTAGCCTAGGGAAAACACAAAGAGCGTAAACACAAAGTTCCTTCAAACAACAAGTGGTTATTTACGTTGCTTATTCGCCAGAATTTCGAGTTTTTCTATTTGACTATTCAATCTTTTCACTTGCTCTTCTAGCTCTGAAAGGTTCATATGGCCCAAGTGGGTTGGACAAATTAAGTGATGAGTGCCTTGCAGTTCTTGAACAAGAAGAGTTGGCACACTGCAACTCTTAAGAATAACGAGAAGGTTTGGTTGGCAGAAAAAAAAGCAGAAGAGGAAAAGAAGCGAATTGAAGAGCTTAAAAAGCAGTTGGAAGATGAAAGACACTTTCAAGAACTGCGAAGACTGCAAGTTGAGTCTGGACAGTTAGACCCATCTGTTTTGAAGCAACAAGAGCGAGTAGAATGGCTGTACGAATGGGGAAAGGAAAAAGACGAAGAGGAACAATATTTACTGGGGAAAAAGTCTGCAGATTCTTTGTTATCCCAGAAAGGGAAGGTAGAAGAAGAAAGCCGTCTTCAGTTGCTCACTCAAGGAAATAAACCCCAGTTGGAAGCTACGTTCGGCTTAAATCGTCTGGACTTGGAGGCAAAATTGAGGGAAGATCCCTTGATGGAGATTAAGCGTAAAGAAGTGGAGGCTATCCAAGCAATTCGTAACAATCCTGTGAAAATGGAAAAGTTAAGGAGGTCCCTGAGCAAACAACAGAGTACGAAAGAGACCCATACTAGTGCAAATGTAACTTTAACCCGTGGAGACAAAAGGGATAGGTCGAGTGAAGATAGAAAAGTTGACTACAGAGAACACAACTTGAAGAGACGACACGAAAGTGACCATCGAAGACAAAGGTCTTCTAAAAAAGGAAGGCATAGTCGTCGAAAAAACTCAACACACACACATTCGGATATTTCACACAATTGCGAGAATAGATATGGTAGTATAGATACAAGGAAAGAAGACCATAGAAGAGACTATTCCAAAGAAGGATACGGTTTAGTGGTTCCAAAGGGCGCAAGATATCATGGATGGAAGCCTGAAGCAAGTTCGGAATCAAGTCATTTCCAGGAGAACTCTTTTTTGAAGAACGGCATAAATTCGAGAGTGAGCGCGAAAGTTGCGGATTCTGAGAATAGATGCTCCTCAAAAAGTAATAGAGAAGAAATTTTGAGGGAAATGCAACAAGATGCAGAGTCGCTTGAGAACGAGCGATTATTGCGAGTGGAGAAGTATCGGAAACAAGAGAATAGTGAAGAAGACGCGCGAAAGGCACCAGCTAATAGTCGTAGCCAGAATTTCTTATTTCAAGTTGCCAGCGAAGCGTGCAATCGTCGATAACGGGTCAAAGATGTATGTAGCTGTTTCGGAACAACTTGCTTTTCCATACTTTTGTGATTGTTTTATGAATGAAGAAGAATCGTGATTCTTTTGTGGAGACGATGAAAGCTTTTTGGACCACTCTTGGGAGTTTTACCGATAGTTCCTTTTTTAGTTTTTCTGCCGTAGAAATGTTATTTACAAGGCCATATATCCATTTTTCAATTTCTAAATAAAATTTCCAGTTTTATTTTCAAGTGGTGCTCTTTAGATCAGCAAAGACTTTCATGTCGGTAATTGAAGTCGGTTGTTCTAAAACAAGATTCTTTTGTTCAGTAAATAATCTAAAGTAATCGAAAGGTTGTTCATAGCTTAACAGAAATGAACACGTGAAAATTGTTAGCGTGTGAACTTATATGTCTATATCTTGCAGTTGTCTCTCATATTGTGGAGGAAGCTCTCCTCATATTTGTTTGCTTTTCCCTTTATATGCTACGCCACGTATGAGTATCCTTTTTCTTTGCCTGTGAGACCTCTTCGCTTGAAAGTTTGTTGTATTTATATCTATATCGTAGAAAGTACCAACTCAATATTCCAAGTGAAAAGTAGGCCGAGAGTTGATTTTCTGTTTGTGAAAGTCACCCTTTGAACACCAACAGAAGAATGTAGCCAAACAAAACACAGGATGGAAAGAAAGCGAAATAACGACTGCAACGCGAAAGAGACAGTTTGTTACTCAAATCTGAGTATGTCTATCTGAGAAGGTACACAAGACTTGACAGTTAGTCAGTCTTGATGATGTAAAGAGGCAATTTATTGAATGGAAGAAAATTTTGGTGACTATAGCAAGTTTACACTCGAAGACAAAAACGCTTGTTTCAAGTAAGACATAAACTGCTTAAGGTGTCGGTGCTGCCTCGGCTTGCTCAACTGAGATCACTTCCTCGTTCTCTCCCTTTTTCTTCCCACCGAATACTTTTTTGAGAGTGACACCAACAACGACGTAAAAGGATAAAACAATATACACGCCGATATGTCGATTATCATTTGCCAACTCGTCAAGGTTGCACCTGCCTTCCCTGAAGTCCCTCCACGTCAACCGCCTTCCGTGCTCATGTGACTGTTGTTCAGTCTCAGTTGCAAAGTGACGGCGAGAATAAAGATTTGGAGTGCTTTTTCTTTCAAACAAAACACTCAGGGAAAACTTATTTCCAGCTTGGTATAATCTTTTTGCTGTTTGAACTACTTTCGACATTTCGCCCCTTCAGGAAAGCAGTCCCAATAACGAAATTGGTGAAGGAATTTTCTACAATTTGAAAGCTAAAAACTGAAAAATTCCAGTTTCGGTGGTTTGTTAGTAGCTATCTCTTCATTAAAATTGGCTGTTTCTCCTCTATGCTGGAAAAGACTGATGGAAATTGTTTTTCTACGAACTCTATTTGTTCCTTTCTTTCATATACTATTACTCTTTGCGCTTTTTGACATTTTAAACAGAAAATTTACATTCTATGATTGCAAGGCCGATTCACTCAAGGTTTTCCACATCGAGACCTTAAATAGACCTGTATGAAAATCTTCTATTCTCTCTTCTCTATCGACACAGTTGGGGCTTTGTTATAATCTATTATGCGATTATTTTTGGCGCAAATTTTGATTTTTTCCTCAAAAAACCACAAATTCCCATTTATTTGAGACAAATGACATGACCCATACTCTTCGGCCCCATATTGATTAGCTTTGACTATTTGTGCTCTTGTTTCCAGTCTTCCCATTTCTCTTCAACTTTCTTTTTGGCCTCAGACATGTCCTCCATAGCTGACTGGCCAGTCTCTTGTAACTTATCTACAACCTCCTTCGCTCTTTCTTTGGTTGATGAATGACCAGAATTCATATCTTCCATTTTTTCATTAACTGCTTCTTTCAGTTCATTCACTTTGTCTGACACTTTTTCTGCCCCTTGCTTTATATTCTCCTCCACGGCATGGTATACGTCGGCACCCTTTTCTTTGATATCTTCGAAGACATTTTTGATCTCCTCTTTGGCATTGTCACCAGCAGCAGCACGTGAAATTATCCTTGGAAAGGCTACCCTCTTATTTTGCGGAAATGTAACTCTTCTATGGTAGACATAGTCGATGTTTTTACAGGCAACTTTCCTAAATTCACCATTGGTTCAATATGATCTTGTTTAACTATGTTAGATGAGTACCTTGGAAGAAGAATAGAGCTGGAACATATGTTTTGTTGAAAGGCAAACATTTTCAGATCTGCTGGAAGCATCTAATGAATATTTGATCTGGACATACACATTCTTATTTTGAGTTTCATCCAAAGGGAGATATTGAGATGTCTGCAGAAAACGATTCCAACAGGAGTACTTTGGAAGAAGCTGAAGAGAAATTGAAGAGTGCAGTTCATACTGGAACGGAGAAAGTGACCCAGGTTTTGAGCGACGTCAAAGAAACTGTCAGTGAAAAATATAAGGAGTGGACAGCACCCAAAAGCAAACAGGAAGAAGCCCAAGACAAGGCACAGGAGGCGAAGGAAGAAATAAGGAAAGCAGGGTCTGCAATCAAAGAGAGTATGAGCGCAGCATCAGAAGCGATATCGGAGAAAGCCGAAAAGATCAAGGAAGAAGTGAAGGAGTGACCGCCCTAACTCGTTCTTTTACTTTTTAATGTTGAGATACTTTAGTGGTTTTGAGGTTTGCAAGAAATAAAATAGCATATTTGAAAGTTTTTATCTGTTGAATAGACCGAATAGTAAAGGGCGCGTTTTCTAATTTCCAGGCAATAACGTTGCTCCAGTTCTGTAGCGGGTTATTCCGTACTCTTGTTGAAGGCCCTCCACCCTGCAAGAACCAGAAAGAGCTCGTAAATAATACTTGGGAGTATTTTTACATAGGAAACTATATGAACAGCTCATTTACTCTCAAAAACTCTGTATCAAGTACTATTTTTTACTCTTTAATCTTCATAGAAGGGACTAATAGCATCTAGAATGGAATTGGCCCAGGTTACTTTACTGAAAGCTCAAATCTATTTGAAGCTCCATAGTATTTAGAGAAAGGTGCAACGATTTCATTATACTGAAACCTTTCATCTGTTCAGACATATTGAAGCTTTATCACAAGTAACTGTTGGTGATGAGTTTTACGATATATGTTCAATTTTAGAAAAGTTTTCCTTTAAGAGACATAAGAACTCGAGGTTATAACAATACAGTTGCGTAATTTTTTGTTGGCGTTATCTAGATTATTCTTTTTAAAGCCAAGTTCACGTCATTGGACATCAACGACATGAAAATACCTTGTGATATGCCAAAGAAAGGTAGAGCGGAGGATATGGAAAATTCAACGTTTGTGCATATAAAGTCCGTCTGCAAAATTATGAGGGGCCTAAGGATATCATAGTCTAACAGAAGAATCTCTCTTGAAGTATTGTAATTCATGGACAAATAGTCGATTAGAGTTATTGTTTCAACATAATATATAGAAGGGCATTATCAGCATGGCCTCTGGTTGATTCACAAAGGAGAGTCTTTGGGAGTTTGATAAACACTATTAAAACGGTGGTATGAGAATTCTTTCAAGCGCGGTGTGCTAAGCCATTTCTTGAGATACAAAATCTTCAAGAATTTGCTTATCGCCTTTCAAAGAGAGCAACACTAGGCATAGAGATAATCTAACGAGGGAATTTCAGGAAAAGAAAGGCTGGTTGAAGCGATAGTAAAGATACTCGTGGCTTGAATACAGTATCTCGATAACGACCATACACATCTAATATCCTCCAAATATTGTAATCAACATACGCTTCAATACAAAAATTGCTGATAAAACTCGAGAGGTGCTTTTTATTTGAGTAGTGGGAAGATCAATCGAACAGACCCAAACCAAGATCTTCGTCTTCCTCCTCTTCTTCTTCCTTCTTAGCTTCCTATAATAACCAATTTAAAAAAACCAACGAAAATATTCGCAACATACTTCTTTACTTGCTTCCTTTCCGGAAGCGGGGGCAGCACCACCAGCAGGACCAGAAGACGCTGCAACAGCAGCTATGGTTGCTGGAGATGGTGCCGACCCAATATTCGTAACTAAGCCATCAATATCCACCTTCTGTATCATTCGAGCAAACAGACCGGGCCAGAATGGTTCAACATGTACTTGTGCTGCAGTCAATAAGGTCTTTATGTTCTCGTCCTAGTAAAAGCATTATTTGTCAAGAGCTGATTCGTCAAATTGGTCAACTTTGCAGTTACCGTGATGGGAAGGCCTTCATCGTGCAAAATTAACCCTGCGTAAACACAAGCCATTTCTGATGCGTGCGTATCTGCCATCTTCGCCGACAAAATATTTCACAGTCTTGGTCCTCTTCAAATCTTCGACGACGTCGGAATCTCACAATTAACAATTATTCCAAAAGAGGAAAGAAAATTCTAAATTAATGAGAAATTTGTATTTATTCAGTACGTTTGTAATTGGGTTTTTGGTGAAAAGTGCCAACGTCCAGACTCCTGCAAAAATCATTTATATAGTGTGCTTTTTCAAGAGTGTGTTCCAAGTTGGGAAGGAGAGAACTTTGCGAAGCTAGCCTATATCTGAATCTTATTTGCGTCAGTTGGTGTTTCGGTAAACTCTATAGCACTGTTTTGATCGTATGTGTGCCAGAAAGAAACTCTCCTTATGTATGATCTTTGTATGAAAAATGAAGCCTTGTGAAGCTCCCGTACTAAAGCTTTAAAACATATCACTTAAAAGGTAGCTATTTATTTGTATTGCTGTCTAAACAGTGACTAAGAAAGTGCATCCTAGTTGAGAAGGCCAGTCTGTGAAAAATTTGACTAATACTTCTTGTACCTTTGTCAGTGAACAAAAAGGCTGTACACAAGTCTTTGCGTTTTGCAAACAAGCGGCTTACAATCTCCAGTTGCAAAAATTCAACCTGCTTCAAGCTATTGACAAAATTTTCGACTGCAGTAGCGGTTCAATCGTGTCAACATTCGAAACAAAGAAAACTAATAAATGGAAGCAAAGCTGCATAAGGGTACTTCTGGCTAGAGTGAGCAAAAATTGTCTCGTTGAAGGATTTCTTGTTACTAACAAGGCCTTATTCGTGAAAGAAATCTCGATTCAATATAACAAGAAACAAGTCAATGATTCAATTCTATGGGCAAAACAACAATCTTAATAATAACAGTTAATATGTTTAAACCTATCCAACATTTGTTCTAGAGCCTGTCTACTGATCACTAAGTGATCTTGTTGAATGATATCGTGAACATTCATCTTCTCCAGAGTCAACACTTTAGCTTCAGGCACAAAAAAAGCGGCATCAGCCAAGTTATCGGAAACTCCATCAAAGTCATCGTTTCTCGCATCAACTAATGCAAAGGACTTCCAACAGTGTTTCTTCAAATGTGTGTGAAGGATATCAGGATCACTGGAGGGTAAAGCGCAGTCTCTTACTATCCACAACCGACCGTCTATCAAACGAGAAGTAAGTAGTGAACGCAAGCCATTCTCCACAAGTTTTCTGGCTTCCTGATAAGAGTAATCTTTCGGTTTAGGACCGTGAGCCACACCTCCGTGTACCCAAAGTGGTGATCTTATACTTCCTTGTCGAGATCTGCCAGTACCTTTTTGAGGTCGTGGCTTTCTACCTCCACCAGAAACTTCTGCACGAGTCTTCAAGTGATTTGTGAACGAGATATTTCTCTTTATGCGACAAACGTACCTTCGTGTTATGAATTCCTCTTCTCCTACAAGCGGCTTGCCACACTACCACGCGGTGAACAATGTCAGGACGAATGACAGCATTGAAAATAATTCCTGGAAGATGGGCAACATCAACTGGCACAAAATTATCGAAAGTATCAAAGACAAGCGCTTCTCTGTCTGCTCCAGCCCAATCAGGAACACTCTCCACGTTCGTCGCTGAACCGTTTGACAGTTCTATCGAACTTACTAATAACTCCAGTTGGTGAAAGTTTATGCAAAACAAATTTCAACTTGCCTGGAAGAACCTGTCCA